AAATATCACATCGCATCCTGGGTAAATGAAGAATTTCTTCAACACTTACTCTTACTCTTAGTTGTACCTTCGGTTGTATACCTGCTTTTTCATGTTATCAAATATTCCAGATGTTCCTTCGCGTTTAAGTCATGTAGGTACAGGGTGATTCACCATGAATGTCCCCCCCCTCTAGCTCAGTTATTTATGAACCGATTGCAAAATTTCAAATATCATCTAAAATGATTTTCGATAGTGTTTTTTTCCGCTTCATCAGAAGATACGAGGTGCTCGGAACAAACGATCTACAGGGTACTACATATTTGATTTTTCAATGGAACACCCTATTTTTCATTGTATTTTTAGATTCTCCCTGAAGAGCTGATTTTATCGATGGATCACACTTAGGGTCTAGCGAAAATGATTACAGAGATATAGGGTGTTCAAAATCGAGATTTTTTAACTTTAAGATTTTCCTGTGACGAAACTATTCATTATCGGTCAGAATGGCTTTCATGTTCATATCTTAATTCCTGATTTACTATCTACTGACATTTAATAATTGGAACATATACAGGGTGATCATAATTCTGAATCTTGAACCACACTGTATATGTTCCAATTAAATGTCAGTAGATAGTTAATCGAAAGTTGAGATAGGGACATTGGAGCCGTTTTAACCAATAAATCCAATAATGAATAGTTTCGACACAAAAAAATCCTAAAGTTGAAAAATCTCGATTCTGTTATCATTCCCGCTAGACCCCAAGTGTGATGTATTGATAAAATCAGCTCTTCAGGGAGAATCTAAGAATACAATGAAATACAGGGTGTTCCATTTGAAAAAATCAAGTAGTACTCTGTAGATCGTTTGTTCCGAGCACCGTGTATTTTCTGATGCAACGAAAAAAAACTGTAAATCTTAGATGATTTTTCAAATTTTTAAATCGATTCTGAAATAAGTGAGCTAGAGGGGACACATTTATGGTGAATCACCCTGTACCTGACTATGACATTAGCTCATTAGCATATAGCTAGAAATATTTGATGTGATATTATTAACGGAAGACAGTGGTATGATATTATATATATGTAGAAGCGAACATAGTTGATACTGAATTACTAATATATAAACATTTAGTGTCCTAACTAAATTCTTTTTTGTGCTTCAATCGATTAATAGAAGGCTTCGAAAATCAATGGAAGTTATTGGAATTAGCTCATAGTCTTTGGTAGTAACTGAAAGTCATTGGAAGCCATTGGATGTCTTTGGAAGTCTTTGGAAGTCTTTGGAAGTCTTTGGAAGTCTTTTAAAGTCTTTGGAAGTCTTTGGAAGTCTTTGGAAGTATTTTGAAGTCATTGGAAGTCTTTGGTAGTCTTTGGAAGTCTTTGGAAGTCTTTGGAAGTCTCTGTTCATTGGAAGTCTGGTGTACACATTTCTCCTGGAGATTTACCCCTCGCTCATCAGCGTCCGCAAGATTTTTTGAAAAAAACACGACACGAGTAAAGTGCTCCCCGGGGGGCTAGGGAAAAAGTTTAGAAACTACTCATCGTGTATGCTCATGGAATAAATCGATTTTTGAGAATATTGAGATGATTTGACTCACAAAAGTACCCAGATTTTATGAAAAAACGAACGAGTAAAGTGCTCCCCATGAAGGCTTGCGAAAAATTTTAAAAAAATTTTAAACCTGTATTTTTGTGAGATAAATCGATTTTTGAGAAAATTGAGATGACTTGACTGGTAAAAATACCCAGCCCACAAGATTTTATGAAAAAACACACGAGTAAAGTGCTCCCCAGGGGGGCTAGGGAGAAACTTTAAAAACTATTCATCGTGTAAGCTAATGGGATGAATCGATTTTTGAGAAAATTGAGATGATTTTATTGTTAAAAATACCCAGTCCGCAAGATTTTATGAAAAAATAAACGAGTAAAGTGCTCCCAGGGGGGCTGGGAAAAAATTTTTCGTTTCATTTTTATTTTTCCTGTAAGATACGAAACTTGGTTAATATTATTTGTCATTAATGTTTTCAACCCTATATATAAAGTATGCTTAATAGAAGGGTTTGAAATATTAATTCAACCTCTTGATATTTTTTACAACTATTTTATTGGATGAAATTTTGAAAAAACATGGCTGAAAATTTAATTACTAACTTGTTTTTCTAAAAGTAATTTCCAAAACTTCGAAGAATTTGACATCTTTTTGAAAGGAAATTTTTCATCCAAGAAAAGTTGTAGGAAAAAATGTCTTAGGGGTTGAATATTTCAACCCCTTCTAAGCATACCTACTTCAGGATTGAAAAGATTCAAATTATACGTATTTTTGAAAAAAAAAAACAATAACTCTCTCTGTTATAACTTGAGGTTTGTTGAAAAAAAGTACTAAAAAACTTACAACTAACCACAATTTAAAATCCACTGTTCGGCACGAGTATCACTAGGAACACGAAACATTTGTAAAGTTTCATCGTCTCTTTGGCATATTCCACAATTGAAAAAACTACATTTATTTCCACTACGGTGGTCCTGAGGGCGATTCAAGATCGTCAAAGCAGAGAATATCTGGTCACAGAGTACAATACAGTAATAACCAGATAGGTAAACACAATAATGAGAAATAAAAGAGAACAATCGCATCGAAATCACATACAACAACAATAATTCATTAATAAGTAATAAAATGGCAAGATATGTCCAGCCTCCAGGCACCTCCAGACTCCAGATTTAAAAATTATACCTGCTCTAGAGATGAAGGGATAGGCGGCACGTGTGCGAAGTGGCGAAAGGTCGAGCAAGGGTGGCAAGGGGGAAGGGATGGTCGAGCGAGGGGGAAGGGACGGTCGAGCGGTAGTTGTATTTGGTTCGAGCACCACGTCGAGAGTTCCAAAGAAGATTTGGCATACACGCATTTTGTGAGTCGGGACTGGTCGGGGACTCGGTAGTGTTCGGTAGATACGCGACGATTTTCATGAATGAATTTCGAATGGCTCCAAATAGCGGGAACGAAACTGGATTTGTGGCTCCATTCCGAGCGCGGCCAGTTTTAACACGGGCGTTGCCTATCTAGGGGAGTGTATAATCTCTGCTGGAAGTGTATTCCAAACTATGACGTAATAGTTAACCAACCACACCAACCGGGTCACTGAGGTAGTTCACAAAGTAGTTAAGGCTTTTGATTGGCACTGGATTGAGCGCTTGTTGTTATAATCTGAGGTTATAATTGATAGGAACAAATAACTATCGTGCAACGCTGAAAAGAAATGCCTATAAATGTTTTGAAATTTGAAATCTTCCATTTTTTTAATATAACACTTTTCCTAAACTGGAACAATGATGTCTATGCTCAAAACTAATATATGGCGCCATCCATATACTCTTATTAGAGATAGAAACAGCAGCTCCATCATAATATGTCATTCAGCAAGTGAGGTGTCCCCGCAAGCGTTTTTATGAAATTTCTGAACAATATTGCACAATAACAAAAATGCAGGTATGTTGGTTAGTTATGGAACAACAGTTACAAGCTGGATTTACTGAATGAATAACTTTTTTTACTTTGTAAACCAAATGTTTCCCAATGTTCCAAAGCGATAACATTGGGCAATGGTAAGGATTTTTCATAGTTCCCAAAGTGGAACAACGGACATTTAGCGTATACACTGCACCTTCGATGAAATATTTGTTTGAGTCAAAAACGGCTTCTCTGCCGAGCGATAGCGACCGGCATCGTCTGTAATGAAGTAGATAGATACTTTCACGGGATATGTTCTTCAGAAATCTCTGCTATCATTCCATTACTATAGCAACACCAGTCAGACGTCCTCGACAAGATCAGTCAGCACATCCTCTCGTCGTCAATCTTGAAATATGTCTTACAACTCTTTACCAAATCTCGTTTGTCCATAGAACGGTAAAGCTTTGGAACCATATACCAAACGAAATATTCCAGTCAAGAACTTATAATCTCCGAAAAGTTCAAAATACCTATCTTCTCTCTCTATCCTCTCTAAGGTGAACACGATGTTTCTCGAATATAATAGCAGGGATTACCTATCGGGCGCTCCAAGAGATGGAAAAAACACAAGTTAGTGTCAGAATCAATATGTAGGAAAGGGTGGGGAAAATAAAATGGAAATGTGTGGACCCTAGTTCCAAAACAGGAAAAATGGGATTTTTGTTGTAAGAAAAAAATGATCAATTTCAATCTAATAAGTTGTTTTAACAATCATTCTACCCTTGTTTTTCCACAAACACATTTTTTTGTTCATTTCTTTCTTAATGTGGACCTCAAGAGGTTAGAGAGAGATCTCATCTTATTATTGACGAAAATAAATATTTGGTTCATTGTAAATAGGTATCAACAAGACTACCAAAAAATTCAAGAAAGAACTTAAAAAAAGGTTGGCATGTCATCCATATAGAGATCATATATCATATCAATTATTTTAATTGGCTCACTCATCACTCAAACAAGGATCAGCTCTGAGAAATACTAAAATAATTATTATACCTATACCTACTACATTTTAAATGTACTGTAATATATTATGGTTTGTATTTTAATGTTCCCTGTTATACGTCAATTGTTTCTTGGGAATAATGAAGATGATGATGTACCCAGTGCCTATCTATAATATATTTTTGTCACAGATGATGAATTCCTAATTCAATATATTAATATTCCTTCTTGAACCAAACAATAAACAAAGAAAGCTGGTAAACAGACACCTGTCAAACTACGCAAGTAAACCGTGACTTCATAATAAAGTTACCGTGACGTCATCATAAAGTTAATCTGGTTTGTCTGGTTAGGTTCGAGGAATAATTTGTAATTTGATAAACCATGGAATTCTCGAAATCAAAACCTGAAAATCGAAAGATCCTATAAATTGAAAATTCCAACACTAAACCAGAAATATAATTTTTTTTGGAATTCAAGTAATTGAAATGATTGAATCAAATATCGAAATGAATACCTAAAACCCAAAAACCCGAATCGAACAAACCCCACTAACCTGCGCGGTCATACGCTGATGCCCATAATGCCCCGCCGACACCGACAACGCCCCCGCCCCGCCCGCCCCGAACGCGGCGAACCCCTGATGGTGATGCGGCGGGGGCGCGGCCAGACACCCGGGAGGCGCGGCCAGACAGCCGGGGGGCGGAGCAAACTGCTGCTGGGGGGGCGTGACGAGCGGCGCGGCCGCGGCGGCGTACATGTTGTGCAGGTGGCAGTTGCGCAGGTGGGGCGGGGCCGAGGGCGGGGCGGTGCAGAGCGAGAGGTGCGGCGGCGAGGCGGTGTAGCTCCACACGGCGTCGGGGGCGACGGGGATCGGGACGGGCACCTGTTGCGAGCAAGGATTTAGTGAGATGAGAGCGATAGTTTGATTAGTTTTCTGCTGTCTTAAAAAAATGGGCGAATTTTCGAAAAACATGTAGTTATCAATTCGAAATATGTTGTTTTATTCATTTTCCAGGACTAAATTGAAAATATCAAACTCAAACTTAGCTTTTAATGAAGTTGATACAGTCTATAGTTATGGGACTAGACAATGAAGAAGTTTCCTTCTGAACAAAATGTCCAAATACCAAACCGTTTTAATGGCTGGTTTTGACGCTAGAGGCCGCTGAAGTCTCAATCTTGATTTCTTTTCTCCTGATGGATAATGCTTTTTGAGCCATTATTATATTTTATTTTGATGGGATAAGTCACTACTAGAGGTATTCATTAAAATTGTTGCTACCGGTCAACAATTATACAATGTGTTCCAGCTATTATTGTTCAGAACAATAATGATATTAATCAATTTTATAGGAAAGGATATCGAGAAATGTCCTATTTCAATTACAAAATACGTTCATTCGAATTCCATGTTCACCCTTTGTATAACGAGAAGATACACGAAGATCTCAATCCGTTCCATATAACAGCAGCTGAATGATATTCGAATCATAAAATATTTTAATATTCAATATTAATGTGCGATGATATTTTTTCTGGTATTAATCTCCTATTTGTCAAGGATTGAGAAGGAATGTTATTTTGCGTTTTCCCTCCTGAAACAGTTCGTATATACAGGGTGATTCACATAACAACCGACAGGGGCATGTAGGGGGTCCCAAAATATGGCAATTTAACGCAACTTACCTCTATACCAAGTTGCTTCCCTGAGGAGTTATAGGCATAGCACTATCAGCATGTCTACTTGCTCGTTAAAAGAAAACTTCCCGTTCATTTCAAAAACACTCAAACAAGAATTACTTAATTGAACAACTCACTTGCCTCATTGTCAAGTTTGACGTTTATTTTCATAGCCAACTTTTAAATTTTCGATGATTTTAAATAACACACCTAGAGCGCGCGTTTTCAGTTATTCGAGTTTTTGATGAAAATGATGAGGTTTTTCGAAAAATTGCTAGAGTAAGAAAAGTTTCAGAATTGAATTGTCCACAAAACAAAGCAAAGATTTTTGAAATCCATTAAGTGTTAACAAAATTATGTTGAATAATAATGGTGCGCCACCCAGTATACCCCCTTTACAAATTTCAATTCAACTCTAGTTACTGTCAAGTAACGACCTAAATACATCCCCAAAGTGTACCAAATTTGGTTGCTTTAATTTCAAGAATAACGGAGATATTGATTTTTTTTCAAAATTCATAACTTCACTTACAAAGCCTATATCTCCTTAGGGAAGCAACTTGGTATAGAGGTAAGTACTACATGCCCCTGCTCTATGTCGGTTCTTATGTGAATCACCCTGTATAGCATCAATAAACAAAGTTCACGAACTATTCAATATCTGCGATCCTGCATCATCAACTTAGGATGATCAATTGATGATTTTTGAAAGAATAGTACGATTTTCGAGGGCGTGATATATTGACATGCATTTGAGAAAATATACAAGGTATAATCAGAAATTTTTTTAGGAAGTTAAAAGGAATATTCATCTGAAGATGCAAATGAATACTGATATTACTGATAATATCTGCTACTGTCATAGAACGAGTTAATAACGTTGTATATCTCCTCTTCATATACTAGGTGAACATTAAATAATAATAATAATAATAATAATAATACTAATAATACTAATAATACTAATAATACTAATATATGTTTTTATTGGAAAAACTGTTTCATAATTGAATTACGACAGGTGACAATATCCTTTTTCATTGAATTATTGGATAGATGTGAAAACCAAAAAAGCTCTGCATTTCAAAGATGACTTCAGTAACACACCGAGTGTGCTATATTTTTGGAATGGTAATTTCAAGCTCTTTTGAAATATGCAGAAATATACAGGGGTCCCATTTGAAATAAATATTGTTCCGTTATTAACTATTGATATATACTTTGAAAAAATAAATTACTTATACCATTGAATCCTACGTGAAAAAGTGCTTTGGAAATATTTTCATAGAAACAACAAATTTTCGACAGGAAAAAATTTACAGCAAGTTTTCGAAAATGCACGTTATCGGAAAACATGCTGTAACTCAGAAACGATTATAGATATCGATGTGCGGTTTTCACTATCGAGTTTGTGATAAAAATTGACCATCAGACACCGACATCAGTTTTCGTCCATCTAGTTTGGAAATAGGACTTTCCCTTTGGAAGTGTCCAATTTGGCCCACCCTGTACATACCAACTGGTCATCGACCATCGACTCAGGAAAAGTCCTTCAGCCCATCTGTGTTTTGTGTAGGCTTTCTTACTAGTTGCGTATCATTTGTGGTGGGAACAAAATGACGATCACGTATCAATCGATATTGAAGTACAACTACCCAGGGTTGGCACGAATTAATTCATATGAATTAAGTCAATGATTTAATTCGTGAATTAATTCAAATGACTTTTTTCAAATAAGTCGTGAATTAATTCAAAATTTATCAAATGGAAATAAATCGCATTATTACCTTCAATTTAAACTAGTTTAAAATGAAATGTTCGATGTCATCTGACAACTGACAACCGTGAAGCACCACACGCGGAAAACAAAATTTTCTAAGAGCCGCTTTACAGTTTGCAATATTTCATTGCATGCAATTGATTGCTCCAATTCATATTTCCGGCAAAAATAATATGTAGGCTTTTCAACGCTGAATCGGAATTACCGGATTGCAATGTCTTTTCGTCATACATTCTGTGTATTACTTCTCACCGAGTTTTGAGTTGGGGCAAGAGTTGTGTAGAAGAAACTATGAGAAAGGCAAGAAAAGTAAGATCCGATGTGTATCTTATGATTCCGAAAATCTAACATGTCACCATTAGAATTGCACCAGTAATAATAAATTATCACAATATAAATAAATATGTCCGGACTCATTTTTTGCAATGCATCGAAAAATTGCTTTCCAAGGTGACACCAATCCGTAGGCGCGTGGCGCGCCATGGATATTGCTGCATTTTATTGAAAATAACTGTAAAGCGCCTCTATAATGAAGATTGTGAATGAGTAATATAATTTGCATAAACATAATTTTTCCTTCAATCAATAGTCTCAGTTTATATTGCAAAAATTGCATATTTCAAGTATTTTATTGTCACGCTTTGAGATTTTTAACGGAAATTAAAACTTTTTGATGTTCTTGTATTTTGTTCAAGTAAATAGAATTTGATTCGTTCTCGAATGAATTAAATCAAAAAAGTCCGAATTATTTCAAAAAGTCAGACTTTTTTATAAAACTCATGACTTATTCCAACCCTGCAACTACCTCATAACCTCAATAAAACGTCTCCTCACCTGATGATGCATCTGCGGATGCGACGCGGCGCTCTGATGCTGCCTGGGCGACCTCCTGGGCGGCGGCTGCATCTGGGGCGGCCCCTGCTGCCCCGCTGCCGGCGACGGCGCCTGCGCGGCCGTCTCCGCATGCCTGCCCGATCGCGACAGCCGCCTGCGCTTGCACGACGGGCTCTCGCTCTTGACGTACTCCTCGTTAGAGGAGGGCGGCTGCTGCAGGGGGGGCGGCTGCAGGGGGAGCTGGTGGCGGTAGAAGGGCGGCGAGTGCTGTTGTTGTTGCGGGTGGAAGTGGACGGGGCTGACGCGCACGTCTAAACGAGACAGTTGTTCATCGAAAATTGAAATTGAAGAGGTTTTTTTTCTACAAGCGTGCGTGATTCACCCTATACCCGCACGCAATTAAGTTTGGGAAGTGTAATTTTCCCGCAACATTGCGGGAAAAACAAAGATATGATAATATGGCAGAATATAAGTGGTTGGTGATGGAATATGAGAGTTTGAGTTTGTTTGTTGCATTATCAAGTATGTATGTTCAGAATCATCCATCAAATTTCACTATTTATTGTGAAAATTAAGAAATATTGAAAAATAAAAATTGATTATTTTAAAAATCCCCATATAGATTTGGATTGATTTGATGGGGAACGATTAATGGGTTGCTTGCAAGAACTGTCAGATGACCGACCCTGGAGGCACAACATTGAAACACAACCTCACTTTTCTTATTTGTTCACAAGTGATTGAAATAGTTTTTCACAGTTATTTTGACATAGGAATCGTATTTTTTGGCTATTCATTAATTCGCTCATGCCATCACATTGTGCTGTTGTACAATTCTCAAGAACTGCAGCAGAAGACTAAGTAATCCTGTTGGTACATTATATTTTAAAAGTAAGTACCTACTATAGTCACTCACATATAGTTTTCATTTTTGAAATTTGGTAATTTCCCTGATTTCTCATCGGATTTCCTTCTTTAATAGAAGCTAATAGAAATACACATGAAATTTCTAAAATAATGCAAGAAGATTGGATTCATGCAATCAAACGGGAGGACTGGTCTGACATGCTGACGAAATATGATCGTGTGTGTTGTAGACATTTTCAATCTATTAGCAGTATTAGCTTGTATTTCAGAAGTGGCAGGAGGAATTTTAATAAGGAATGACAACATTCCATAATGATAACTATGTGAGATTACTATTTACCTGAAAAATCATATTCCTTCATCTCTCGCTGCATTTTTTATGCATATTACAACAGCACAATGCGAAGGCATGCTTGAATTAATGAATAGCGCAAAAAACACGATTCGTTTGCCATAATATTGTGAAAAACTATTTCAATCCTTCGATTCCTCTGTCACCAAATAAAAAAGTGAAGTTGTGTTTCAATAATTCACAGAAGAGTGAGGTTGTGTTCCAATAATTTGTTGTTATGCCAATCAAACCTCAAATGAGTTTGTAATTGTCGAAGTGACAGACACAGCGCTACTGTCATTTTCGATTCAGTGGAATTGCCACAATGTGATCAAAAACTTCCAGCTATAGGGATGCGATACAGATGCGTTATTGTCGACAAAGTCCTAAGAAAGGTATGAGCAGCTGTACACGCGTTTTATTGAATGGTGCAACAATAAAGAAATGAAAATACCGAATAAAGAAGATATATTTTTGGCTCATTTCCTAGAAGTGTCTGAAACCTAGAGACCAAACACCTTATGGGCCTGCTGGCTTCCGCAATGAACCTATACATAATGCGTCAAACTGTAAGTTCACAATAGCTATTACTAATAATCAGTAGATAGAGAATATATTTCTCTTGTTAGTTGTTCCTATATGAATAATTAATTGAACAATTCACTCAGTTTCCTACGCTTGTAGAAAAAATATTGTTCCTAACTCATGCGAAAAGTGTCTTTCCCGCACTCGACTGCTTGCCCGAACTCCGAATTCAATCGGAAATATCAATCAACTGATAACCATTGAAGAGGAATGGGAATCACCTCGTATATTCTACACTGAGCAACATTCCAATGATGAGTAAGAGTAAAAGCGATGAGTAAGAATTCATTGATTTATCACATACATTTTTGAACTCTCAAAGTTTCATTGTATAAAACTTCCATCAATCTTGGTATATCCCCCTTAATATTCTTTTTCCCATTTTTTTTTCTGCAACTTCAAGGAAAGTTGCTGTCATTCAATCTCGAACATTATACAAGTTGAGCAATGTGTTGTGCTCGGTCTTCCTGTAATAATATCTATCAAATATTGTTAAACACTCTGTATATAAACAATATAAGATTTCATACAATAGAGGTCACAATAACTCATAAAAGAAAAAATCTGTGATATTTGAGCTACAAATAAGAATATTTCTGGTCAGTAGTACAAATTATCGCATTTTTCGAAAAAAAAATCTTTTTCTCGAAACTCTGGAAAGATACGAGGAAAATTGCGAAACCATTTCGAGAAATATACTTGAGAATTATGGAAATATGCTTGAAAAGAATCTCAAACATTTTCCATCAATTTGGGAGTATGGAGAATTTTTCAATATTTTGCAGAGGTTTGCTTGTCACCCTGTATAGCCAGAGGTTACCATGTATTTTCATCAGCGGTCTATCTGTCATATACCCAATGGATCAATCTTCAGAATGAAGACAACTTCATACGAATAAGTGGAATTTTCGCGAAAATATTCAATGTTGAATTTAAAGCAAAAATGTGCTCGATGCGGTTCGATTGATCAGCAGTTTAGATTTGTTCCAGGAATATAGTCTAGGGGCCGGTTGCATAAAGAAAAATTAATCATACAATCAACTGATGCCACAATAACTTTGATGTTATGTTAAATGTCATTTGCGTTGCATAAACAATCTGATGTTATAATAATCTAATGACGAGAAGGGCGTGGCAACAGCGCTAAATCTATCTGCTCCTTGCGTTCCGCGCATTGTTAATACGCATTTTAGGTTAGGTTTATTTGTTTGATTAACATTCAGATTGACAGAAGTTACAGAAAACCTGAATCAGGTATTGAAATCATTGCCATCATACATTTTGAACGGATTGTTTCTATTTCGAAAGGTTCTTGACTTGGAAATAAGTAGTTCTTCTTCAGATAGTGAAGACAGTGATGAGATAGACATTTTCTGTAAAACCTATAATAGTCATTTACTTACATTATTGTGTTCATTTACCTACTCTACCTTTTGGAAATGAAACAAGAACTGAGAAGAAGGAAAAATCTACGAAATATTCTAAATAATTTGGCAGAATTCTCACAAGTCATTTGTTGGTTGTCACTTTAATCAGTGATCGAGCACTGATTAAGTTGATGCCATGAATAAGTCGATTTGATGTGACATCTAAAGTTGATTGGCCTTTGTGCAACCGATTTTATAGTTAAATAGTCATTATTATAAGTTAATCAGATGATTAAGTAACCATGGCATTAAGTACATGATGAACCTTTCATGCAATCGAATTCCATTTATAACGTCGCATCAAATATTTGAAGTGACATCAAATAATTGATAAGCTTTTATGCAACCGGCCCTAGGAATATATTCTGGTTAATTTTTTGATGGGTTAACCTACATATATTTGGGGGATATTCTCGTCACTATTCTGTGTCCCCTTTCTATAAACTCAGAATATTCTTGGGATAATTATATTTTTATGTGGATATTCATTGAATAATTGCATATCCTCGAGAAATATTCTGAGGATCACCTATGAATATTTTTGTGCTATCTGGGTTGGGGACCTCACCTATGCCGTTCCTCCTCCTGCCGTGCGAGAAATCCATCATGCCCCGCTGATGGCCGCCCTCGGCCTGCGCTAGGCCGCCCATACCGCCGCCCGCGTTCTCGCACACATTCACCCTCAGGGGCGGCGACGCGTGCCGCCGGTCACCGAGGCTGGGGCGGCGCCGCAGGTCGGGCGGCGCGGGGCGGTAGTTCGGCGCGAGGGGCGGGGGCGGCGCCTGCTGCTGCTGCCGGCGCTCCGGTTGGCCAGGCGGCTGGTGGGCGGGGCGACGAGGCGGGTTCTGGTGGCCTGCGGGGTAAAGGGAGGGGATAGACGGTTGCGGTGTGGCCGGGTAGCGATTTTACTAAATATACTGCACGCTAGCACAGACTAGAGTTCCTAAATGTACTTGACACTGCTGATTTTGACGTTTTTTGTATATCAGAGTACGAGGTGCGTTTTTTTGGTTTCCTACTGGTGGCAGTAAAATTGACGACCAATAAAATGTTGTGAATCATTTTGAGAGTTTTGTGACATTCTGCTGATCATTTTTAGGTTATATAATGATAATATAATCTCGGGATCTTGCTGTTCATCCGTACATAATTATAATTTATAATAGATCATGTTGTTCCCGCTTTCTTGTTATCCTCCTTAGTAGGTGCATCGCGGTATTACAAGGCAAAATACATTGATATTTATCGATGAAGTTGACCCCATGATACTTGAAAGGATTTTATACTTGTTTGAGTTTTTATCAAGATTTATCAACATTCAAAAGTAATTTCAGGAGTCCAGTAGTGTTTGAAAGTATTCTGGGTAGATTTGCGAACAATTCCAGAATATTTCCTGAGGCGAGTTCACTTTCAGACAATTTTTTAGTCTGATTTTGAGGTTAGAGTATCTGAAATACCGCCATTTCATACACTCCCTCCACAATCTTCTTCCTGCCATTCCGTATGGGAAGACGGAATGAAAAGTTATTTGCGAGGTATTTAAATATTTTGGTAGAATGTAGAACATTTTTCAACGCATTTTTATCAGTTACACTTCAGAACGGAAGATTTGATGTTGAAGAATAGGATCGTATTGAGAGATAGAGCCGAACCCACAATTTATAAACTGAGCGAGTATCGAAAAGAACCTTATTCCAATTCAGACTCTGGTTATTGCTTGTGATGGAATGATGGAGCAGATATCACAATATAGACACCATTGACATCATGGTCGATAATCTGATGATGAAACAGCAGCAACTTCCTGAATTGACTGACTCCAACAGATTTCACATACCTGTTCAACCAAGAATTCTTCAGATCATCTTCGTAAACGAATTCTTATAATAATTTTGTGAAAACATATAGGCACTTTGTGAATCTCTGATGTATCTATATCAAAGAGTTGAATATATTGTTCATGTATCGCTTCTTCAAAGTTGAAATACCAAGTCTGAATGTTCATTGTTCATGCGTAGTTGAGAAGTGCTAGACGACTACATAGCTCCCTCCAAGTGGATTTTGAGTTATTTCTTGGGTACCAAGATACGAACAAGATATTATCAGAGTACAGAACGAGAACGCTTAACAAGTGCACCATTTATGTTAGGTATTGAAAATGATCTGCCGATGGCCGGGTTCAACCAACAATCCCCTTTAGCAATGTGAACGGCGATCTATAGTGAGTCGAGCACGATCGAGCGCTGAAGTCTATTCATACCTACTTCCGTATGTCTTGAAGAGCCTTTTTCATTTATCCTAACTGAAATCAGCTGTAATTGTTGCCATACCATTTGTTTATTTATTAATTATTTATTACCTACCACTTTTGTACAAGTGAAATTGTTCCACACGAAATTAAAGTATGTTTCTTGAAATTTATTAGGTTTTACCCCATTCTGAACTTTTGTGATGAACAAATATTCAACTGAACGTATATATATATATACCTACATATAAGAGACTTATTTCATGGGAATACTATATGTATTTCGTTGATATATATGTACCTACTAACTTGATATCGACCTCCATTGAGGTCTTTCAGTCTTATCATTCAATATTTCGAGAGAAGAAATAATTTTCTAATCAATTTATCGTACCCTTTTACCCACTCGAGGAGACGCTATGCACTCTCATACAAAAATCATAGACAGATAAAGATATATGGATGTACTCTTCCCAGGACTTGTGGAGGAAGGAAGATGCGAGGATTGCGAGGATTTTATCTTAGCGAAAAAAATATATTTGCTTCACAATCGTTTAAGGTTATGTTTGATTGTCACTGCTTGTCTAGTGTCCGTACTCTAATATACAAAAAACGTCAAAACAGCAGTTTTGTGTCCGGACTCTTGTCTAAGGTATATACAGGGACTCTAGCACAAACCACGCCCACCGTAATACGATGTCATATCTCCAAACATCACCGATATGCTCGGAGTCAGCACATCGCACTAAATATACTGTGCTCCAATGCGAGAATTCACTTCTTATGATTTTGACACGAATTCGACTGCAGCTCTCTCGTTGTCAATCTCTTGTATGCAATAAATTTATATACCCAAACGGTCTACTGGTTAGCGCTGTCGACTTTCGGTCTGAAGGACCATGGTTCGAATCGTTGTGAACCTGATTTTTTTTTGCAACTTTTTTTTCACCAACATTTTTTTACTTCATTCTGGTTTTCCTTCTTCAGAAAATATTTGAAGTTCAATAGGTTAGTGCGTTTAGGATAAACAGTCTCATTTTGTTCAATTATGTTGAAGAATTTAACTTTTGAAATATATTACTAATCAATGTGTTTTTACACTCAACTCAACTCAACTTTATTCATTGTGTAGACCATACAAGGTATAAAACAAGTCACAAGTTACATTTACATTTTGTATATATAGGTACACATATAAGAGTAAACACTAAACATACAATTTCATGAGTAAAACTTTTGAGAAATTGAGAAAATTGATGAAAAATAAAATAAAATAAAAAGTAGAACCAGTACTAGAAATCCAGAAACTCGTCTACTGTGTAGTAACACTTTTTGAGCAGGTATTGTCTAAGAGATTTCCTGAACTTAAAGTATGTCCCTCACACAAGAACCACTTCTATACCATACTATTGTAAAATAAGTGTTAAGCATTTCGAGAAATTATTGTGTTTCCAAATTTTACCGAATTCGATGAATAGGTCCATAAAAGCTTGTTAAACATTCAAATACGTATTTCATCGACATCGACCACGTAATAGTATCCAAATGTAGGTAATAGTAATTTACGTAGTCCGGAAAATACTGTTTATTTTTTGACAAGTAGACAAAATTCTAGGCCAAGCCGTAGGCGACTCCTGATGGAATCTGTTTTTGGACGTGTTGTGTATACTATTTTTTCGGCAACCATGTAGAATAACAAATCAATGAGTGACATTTCCATATTGTATTTCTCTGTGAAATACAATTTCTTCTTTATTAATTCTTATTTGTATCAAATATTGAAATTTGAACAGAATACCTATACATACTAACTGTAACATTGGAAATTTCGTTATGGGCATTTTCAAACTCAGTATCGCAGCTGCTTTCGATAGTTTATTACGATAATTGCAGCCAAACTTTCAAAGAATCGAAATGTCAACTAATTTCATGTCAAATAGCTATCAGCCTATATTTCGCTGCTATATGAAATGCAGAAGTAAGATATGGTGTAATTACTGATGATGCGCTTTTGTTTCAGAAATTCCACTCGACCTCGCGAGAACAGCGAGAGCAATAGTTCCGTCGAACTTCTAATAGATGGTACAATCGCACAATTATGACATCGGTCAATTTTTTAAATTGCCGCAGATTTTTCGAATTCAGAGTTAAATAATCCCACTCTTACATATGTTCTGCGTACCTAAAATGCCATTTGCCATTTTGTTTCCACTCGTCATAGCAGCAATTGCAGCATTACCATCTAGCAGAAAAATGTAGAATCAACGTCTCGCTCGATGTGACGTAGAGAAATCAAAGTAGGCGGTCGAGTGATTTTTCTCAAGTTTTCAATACGTGAAAATGGCCGACTACGCACACCATCTACTTATTTCCATCATTGGACATATTAAATTTCCTTATCAGATGACTAAGTAAGCCTAAGCAGATCACCAGGGTTCAAAATTGATTCAATTTTGTCAAATTTACTAACAAAAAAGTATGACAAACTATTTTGAAGATAAGATCATGAAGGCATGCATGATAGATAGACAATCATCTCAGGTGGGCATATCCTGTATTATGAGTTCATGATAATATAATCTATATACAGTGTGTTCCAGATTTCAATCGGGAAACTGATAGGAGATAGTATTCACAGATATTAAGAAAAAAGTTCTGATAGAAATTGTATATTTTAGAGTTTAGTTTTCAAGATACAGGATATTTACGTTAGAAATATCATTTGCCTTTTTCATTTTCACCCTGTATGAGCTTTCATAATGCCAAAATTTACTGTGGTCGATGACTGAAAAATTCTCAAAATCTCCAAATTATACTATTATGGCTATGCCTATGGAGATCTCAATGGCTGTCTTGCAAGAATCTATTTATTTATTAAAATTTATGAAACAAAAAAGTTGCTATTGTTGAATCAAATAGCAATATGGAACTTGAAAACAAAAAAAATTAGGAAAATGATTTTCATCATAAATATTCCAAGAACTTATAGCCTCCAAAAGTAAAAAAAAAATTCAACACCTACCTCGTCCCCTTATCTTCCCTAGAATATTATAGGAATTTCCTTTCGTTCGCTCCAAGAGATAAAAAAAATCCGGTAACCCTCTGGTGCGCCGCTGGAATAATTACGGTGCATCTAGTTATGCACAAAGACAAGGCCTATTTTAATTACGTTGGGCCCCAAGGGTCAAGCAAAACTGTGGGCTAATATCCTATATGACTTTCCAACAAGTTTTTTCCGGTTACCTCTCTAACACCTTTAGTTTCTTTGTTGAATTTCGTGGTATGCAAAAGAATTTGATGAAAATTCAATTCCCAATTGGTTAATTAATTAATTAATGTTTTCCGTCGACCTCGTATTAACGACTAAGTTTAATGCATATGGAATCGTTCATTAATGACCCCTATTAATGGACGATTTGTCTATTAATGCACGATTGTTTTATAGGCAACCAAACATACACCGCGTGCATTCATTGTTTATGCTATAACTAGCGGAATCTGCATTTAAATCGAAAATATGGATTTCATCGACGATTTTCCGTTAACGGGTTCGCCTTTCTAAGTATTTGACACGATTTTAATCCCTGTTTTCTAACAGAAGGAATTTATTTCCTATGTTGATCATTTCGACAAATGTCAAATGACACTAATGTCAGTAACAAGGCTACTGGGTGATTCTTAGCAGTTTCCGGATGGATGATGAATTCGCGAACCAAGTTTTCTTCATTGCAGGAGAATTTTGTAACCAACTTGTATATTAAAAGGCGATTAATGATCTCGAACATTAAGGCACTCGCTTCGCTCGCACGTTGAAATATCTCGATCATTAATCGTCCTCATTATAATACACTAGTTGGTTAAATAACTATTTCAATGATTGTGAAAAATTTTACAAGGGACAGAATAAAGAATTATTAATGAGAATGAAAAATGAATTAATATTTTTCTACTCACTTTCATTTTAGAAAACGTTTCTATGATACCATTTATTACTGATTCATGGATAATATTCCTTTCTATGATTAGAATGGTCTATAATATGAGACAATTTTTCTTGCAATTACTTCATTCAATCATTTTCTCAAATATGATTTTACCCTTATCACTTACTTTCCTGAGTTGTCAATTGATTCATTGTATATATGCGAGTATATATGTATGTACAGGGTGATCAGTTAACAGTAGCGAGCGGCCATATCTCATAAGATATTGGTCATATAGATTTGAGAAAAAAAATCATGATAAAATTCGCCAAGAGAAATTGCTGGAAATTATTTTCGAGTTTGTCAAACATCCGGTAGAGGGCGTAACAACCAACACCAAGTAGAAAAATGGTATTTTTATAGAATTTTGTCTTATGAAAGTATGTCGAAGAAATCATTTTCATATTTACTGACCATTTCCCTACAGTTTTTATTTAAAACGTTTTGTTCTAGCTATCAAAATAAAGCGGTGGGGGAAGTTCAATTGTTTTTCGAAACAAACCAAGATTTCTCCCGTTTCTTTCGACCGATTTTAGCAAACTCAGGGAAAGAGCATAATTCGCCCTACAAAACGATTATTTGGTTTTGAATTTTTGACTTTTGCTGTCGCCGATAGATGGCGTTAACTGAAACGTTAGCAAATTTTTGAGTTTTTTTCAAAAAAATCGAATGTAATGGTATATAAATTTCAATATGTTTTGAAAGAGGATAAATTTCTCTATAATTTGATGAAAATAATTTATCATCTACCTTTTTTTTGAATTGTTGATATTGACCATATATAATTTTATTACATAAAAAAATGGCACGCCACTGTTTTTTATCAAAATAAAAACAGTTTTGTAATCTCTTGTTAGTTGCTAACAAAAATAACCTCTTGACTTTTTTTCGTTAGACAAACGGTTTTGGATTGAAAAAATAAAATAGGTTTACATACTGGTTCAAAATTATTTTAGATATGGGCGCCCCATGTAAACCTATTTTATTTTTTCAATCCAAAACCGTTAGTCTAACGAAAAAAAGTCATGAGGTTATTTTTGTTAGCAACTAATGAGAGATTACAAAGCTGATTTTTATTTTGATAAAGAAACAGTGGCGTGCAATTTTTTAATGTAATAAAATTATATTATGGTCAATATCAACGAGGTAGATGATAAATTATTTTCATCAAATTATAGAGAAATTTATCCTCTTTCAGAACATATAAAAATTTATATACCATTACATTTGATTTTTTTGCAAAAAAATCAAAAATTTGCTAACATTTCAGTTAACGCCATCTATCGGCGACAGCAAAAGTCAAGAATTCAAAACCAAATAATCGTTTTGTAGGGCGAATTATGCTCTTTCATATTACCCTGAGTTTGCTAAAATCGGTCGATAGAAACGGGAGAAATCTTGGTTTGTTTGAAAAAACAATTGAACTTCCCCCACCGCTTTATTTTGATAGCTAGAACAAAACGTTTTGAACAAAAAATGTAGGGAAATGGTCAGTAAATATGAAAATGATATCATCGACATACTTTCATAAGACAAAATTCTATAAAAATCCAATTTTTCTACTTGGTGTTGGTTGTTACGCCCTCTACCGGACGTTGGACAAACTCGAAAATAATTTCCAGCAATTTCTCTTGGCGACTTTCATTTTTTTTTCTCAAATCTATACGACCAATATCTTATGAGATATGGCCGCTAGCTACCCTTAACTGATCACCCTGTACATAGTAATATCAGGCATTTTTTAGAAAAAAATAATTTCATCACCATATTGAGAAATTTTTTGATCAGGAATCATTTATTTTCCCTGAAAACAATCATTAACAATTTTTTTGGAAAATCATGCTAATATTCAGATACTCCCAGAAAGTTCTTATGTAGTTATCATACACAGTATGTTCTTTGTATAAGGAATCAATGACTTTTCAGGTTGAAAAGAATTAGAACCTAGCTGTCACCATTATGTTACAGAGCATTAATTTGTTTCAAGAATTGTGATCATGAAAACTAAAAGGATTCCCTTGAGAATTCCTCAGAAGATATAGCTTGAAACTTTTTCTCAAAAGTTGAAATTGAAACATATGTATTTCAGAAGTTTTGCAATGTACTGAGGGAGGATTAAACAAAAACGCCATTTTTATTTTGATTGGCCAGATTCAAATACTTGTTGAACTATATTAATCACATGAATTGATGGCATTTTTCAGTGTTCAAATATTAATAAGAATGGTTTATAATTATTTTTTCAAGCCTTTACATGCCCCACTTTTCGCGGGCCCAAGGCCGGGCCTTTTGTGCTTGTTGGTCAAATAATCACTGCCAAAAGATACATTTTTAATAAAAAATACTGCTGAGTTGAAAAAAAATCAACTAAGGAGTTTATGAGCTGTGATTATAGAATTGTTTCAAAAAACTTCAAGAGATATTCCCAAATATTCTAAATATATAATTTTCTGAGATATTCTCCAATATGCCTGAATATTCATATATTTTCCCAAATGGTTCACCAGTTCTGCAATCACTGAATAAATGAGAGTGAACCCATATTTCTGAAATTTCAAGTTGGCTCAACCTACTATAATTAGTTTCAAATAATAATCCAATTGAGAAACTGGAAACCAATTATCATCAGGATATTTTTTTTCAACAACAAATCAAAATGATGCTTACACTAGCTATGCAAATTACTAATACTAGATATGTAAATACTATTGTGGATAAATACCCTATCTCAATCATGATATGACTGTATTTTACTTTAATTTACTTGATGATGATGATGATGATATTACTTTATTTTACATGAGGAACAGATTATTAGTCAGCAAAATCTAGAAAGTAGGCATACTCATATGGTAATATTCTATTCTATGTATCATTAGAACATATATATGCAGCTCAATATGTAGCAATTGAAGACAAGGTTGAATCATGAAATCAAGGTTTTGTTTTGAAATCTTGAAAGGGAATTACCCTTGCAACTACCAAATAAAATCAATCAAACACAATCAAATGGTAATGAGGGAGGTACTTACCAGGAGCCTCATTGTTGTAATGTGTATGACTATTTCTAGAACTGGGACTCAGTTGGGGATTTTTGGGGAATCCATGCACATGATTTGGTTCCTTTGGACTGCCATTTGATGCTACCAAACATTCACTGAAACCCAGCATAAGAATCAAATCTTTCATAACACAAAAGAACTTGAAAAAACTTCACATGGGTTCAAGGACTCACCGTCTGTTGAAATTATTTTCATATTCCCTGTTGTATTCTTTGGGGTACCTGTTCGGCCATTTCTGGTGGTTGTGAGGATGGTTCATATTGTGATTAGAGCGATTAGAGTGATTATTATTGTGCCTACTGAAATTAGAGGAATTTCTACGATGTGGGTTGTGGTTGTTAGAATTCATGATTCCTGGGTATGATGCAGACTGTTTTGAGTATCTAAAAATAAAAATACGCCTGATGCAAACCGAAATATCATTGCTAAAGTCTACTTACAGCTTTCCTTTTCACTTAATTTCAAAATAATGGGAAATAACTCGATAATGCCTCACCATTCACAATCTTATCATTGAGCAAGAGAGGAGGAACCAGTCATTTCACTATTATATTTCACGCTATTGATCCATGAACTTTTCACGTGGTATTCGAAATTCTATAAAGCACTACTTATCTTAGCTGACGATATTGCCTTAGAATTTCACTAATTCAATGAAAAGGTACAAAGAAACTTTGATATTTCTTTATACCAAACGAAAATATGAGACGTAGGGGACGACTCCGTTTTGCTTTATTTATATCGTTTGCTTATCTTTTTTGACTGATTGACTCACAAGGCACAGTGTTGCCAATGTTCAGATTTCGTCGTTTTATCAGTTTTGTTTGTGCCACGCCCGCTTATTTACACAATTTACACCAATTTTAAACACTAGGGTAGCAGAGTTTAGGGGTTAAGGGTTCGTTCTGAAGATAAATATATAAAAATTATTCCTTACAGATGAAAATGCTTCTTTACATTACGAATAACTACTATAGTTGATACGACAAGCGACAAATCTAAAATAGATTATGCATTTTTCCCTAGTACTTTTTATAAACGGAAAAACGGCAACACAACACTACACAATACAATTCAGACATGTCATGTCACTCATGACTCATGTCAGATGTTTGAGGTGTTGGCTGTCGTTGTCACTGTCACTGTCAGGCTTGAATCGTGATATACAGGGTGTGAATAAATAAATGCGACCAAAATTGGGGGTGATTCCAGTGATTCCTTGCGATATTTTATGGAAAAAAAACTGCATTACCATAGCGAGGTCCATACTCATTCAATGTCTGTTAGTAAAAGCGATACATTTCCGGACGAGAATGTATATTATCTGGGAATGTTTTTTTAATTACACGACGTAAGGGGAGAGACGGGCAATATATGTGACATAATAGTTAATGTTTGAAACATCCTCACATCCTTTTCATGTTCAATCGACTTGTACATCAACAGACTTCAATACTATGACGCAATAAAATACAGGGTGTTTCCTAACTACGGTTCCTAACTGCAGGGGGTGATTTAATTGTTAGGTCATTTTTAGAAGAAAAGTTTCTATGAACATATGTTCGGAGTTGCTTCGTTTCTGAGATACAGGGCGTTGAAATTAAAGGAAAAAAAAACGGTAATTATAAAATATTATGATTATCCTGGAACCGATTTGGTTTAGATTTGGTACTTCTATTTGCCAAATTCTCTAAAATTCAGCATATCAAGTGTCAATTATGTTTTTGGCGGAAATAATGAAAAACTCATTTCTCCAATGCAGGTGTTCATGATATGCAATACAGTGGCTTTAATTTTTTTTCTCGGGAACGAAGCTGGATATGAAGAAAATACAAGAGACCAAAAAGTTGTATTTTGAGTTGCTCAATCTAGAAAAAATAATGATTTACCAAAAAAAGTCAGTGGCGTACTTTTTTTTCACGATATTGTTGGCTGTGGTGCCCACTGAGACGCCACTAGCCCCAATAATTTCAATCTAAATAGGGCTGAATAAGCGCCTTATTAGTTCAAATAAAAGTACAAAATTTCAACCGAATCGCTTCCAAGATCTTCATGATATTTTGTAATTACCATTTTTTTTTCTTCAATTTCATCGCCCTGTATCTCAGAAACGAAGCAACTCCGGACATATGTTCATAGGAACTTTTCTTCCCGAAATGACGTAACAAATCAGCACCTGCAGTTAGGAACCGTAGTTAGGAAACACCCTGTATAATGTAACTCAATGTGAACTCAAATAATCATTTTCACGAATTAATTCATGCATGCGGAATTTCATTTTGCCCGTACCGGGGCGAGTAAAGTAAAATCTTAGTATGGGCAAGTTGAAATAATATACTTAATAATAATGGGGCGAATGAAAATCGATTTAAAACTTTAAGGAATATATTCAGGAAGAATTGAAATATCGACACAGATACAAAATCTCATTTGGAAGTTATAAATGTCCTGGGAGAGGTCGGGAACAGCAAATAATCCTTTCCGCATCTGCTTCGGCTGTATTTGATAATCATGTGTAGATGAACCTAGGCCATTGTCGTTCTAGATGACAAGTGACAACCTAGTTAGGTGGTTAGTACACAAACACAACGCAAGATTACTGCGTCAATCTGCCGTTGGATGTCTCTACAGCATCCTGAAATATTATTCCAGATTGCTCTCACAGCATTTATTTCACTCTGCCCGCCGTGTCCCGAAAACAACAAAAACGAAATAAATCTTTTCAAGAAAGTTTCTATACATATATGTATTCTCGATGAAGTGCATGTCGTATTCAAAGAAAGACTAATAGCAGGTCAATAAAAAAAGTTAAGAAGCGATGTCAGGGCCTTTTGATATTATTTTCAAAGCAAAAACGGTCACATCTTCTGGGTCACACTGTATGTACCTCTATTAGAAAATAATTTCGGGACAGGTACATTCTTCCTAGTATAAAAGCCGATATTCCAACTAAAAATTCTGCACATTTTACGCGTGTGCTCGTTAGACTCGAAGCGCACCTCAATATTCCTGCATCACGTGACCTGATCCGCGCGTCGGCATCTAATTTTGGCGTCTCGGCGCCCCTTAGAGAGCATATCGCTCAGTATTCCGAATAATTTGGCGCCCGGGAGTGGTGTAGTACAGAAGTCGGTTACAGTGAATGCGATTTTGTCGAAAAAAAAAAACATTCTTGTGGGGGTATAGTACAGTTTATGTAAGGTGAGTTGCGATTTTTTCTCACCGCCGGGAAATTGAAATAAGGTTGGTAAGCAGCCTTGAGATGTGTCGAGACAACTCTCTACCAAAACTCGTTTGTTTATAGAACGGGAAACCTTTGGGATATTCTTCGCCCAGCGAAGTATACCTGAGCACCTACCGAGTAACACAGACTCATATGGTATACCCTTCTTGTCTCCTTTGTTTTTCTTGCTATATTTCTGAAATTTGGAACATCGAATATGTTTACTAAAGGGTACTTTCTCACAAATAAGGGATTTTGCTGCACCTTCTGGTTTACCTGTAAATGACATCAACTCCGGTTTTTCATTCCATAATCGGTTAGGGATTATTATAACGAATTCAACGATACCGACTTTCATTGGGTTATTTCAAACGATTATTACGAATACATATATTCCCGCTCGAAGTATTCATATGTTCAATGAATGTGACAGAGAAAGAAGTTTTGATATTGCTCCGTGCTCCGTCACACCAATTGAGCATATGAAAACTTCAAACGCATATAAATAAGAGGTATATCTTCGTAATCGTCCGAAATGACCCAATCAAACCCGGTATACAGGGTGTCCCGAAATTTGTAAATATTCCCTAAACCAGAGATTATGGGGGGAGTGTATAATATCTGCCTAAACCCTCTGTGCTGAGATAACGAAGTTTAGTACATGTATATTCTTTCCGTGTCACATTTTGAAATTTCCGAAAATTTCAACAGGGGTGTGAGAAATAGGTGAGGCTAAGGGCGTTTCTTTCCCCAACTTTTTTTTCAATGCAATTTTCGGCAGTGTGACCAGGAAATATGGAAATATCATCATATTTACCTCACCATTTTCGAGATAAATCGATTTTAAAAGTCTGCTACACAATAAAAATTGTACTTTTTCTTAATAGGGGTACCAACCATAATATCTTTTAGATTATTATTTTTATTGTTCCTGTCTTATTCTTAGTTAAACATCACAGGTAGATGTTGCAAAAAGGGTATTTTCTATCGAAAAATGATTTTTGAGAAAATTATTATAAGGAAAAACCCTTATTTCTGTTACGCAGCAGACTCTTAAAAACGATTTATCTCGAAAATGCCCCTAGCCCCCCCCCCCACCTATTTCCCACGCCGCCGCTGATCAAAATTCTAGAAAATCCCTAATACTTTCAAATCGGGCATGAGGCAATGCAATTGCAAAAAAAAAGAAGTTATATTATTTTAAATGTACAAAATGTCGTCATCTCAACACAGAGGGTTTCGGGACTATTTACATAAATCCATCCTCGAGCTCCCCTGTAGATAGCTATAACTCCCGAGAAAGCCATTTCTGGACCCATGTTTACATACATTTTTTTCACCATTTTTGTTTCTAGAATCTTCGGGACCCCTGTATAGTTGAATTTGTTGAATATTCAAGCGATTATCAAATAAAATACAGGGTGAAAAATTATAATATTTGAGAAAGTGATATGTGTTCCGAATTTCATGAATATATAGTTAGAAAAATGAAGAAGAAAAGGAGGGTAGGTATACCATGAGTCTGATGTTGTCACCCGGTAAATATAAATGATTTCTAGAAGTTTTGGAAAACTCCAATATTTGTCTACCCTAAGTTTCGTCCACGTTTCGTCCAATCTTTCACGAATATGGTAATAAGAACATTCGTGCAATACAGTAGATAAAAAGTCAGTTGAAATGAAAATTTTAATCTGATTATAAATGCTCCAGATTCAGAAAGAAAAAAAATGGCGTATCATTATTTCGATGATTTTAATTTTCACACAAAATTAGTGATTAAAATAATGAAAGTGCGTTGAATTAGATCTGTTTTTGATTCTTAATAATAATCTGTGAAGAAATTGTGAGAGAAAAAATTGAAAAAAAAAACATTTGTGTTCTTGAATCATCATGAAGAAACTGATGCTCAATTAAATATTATACACAGGGTGATATCTGAAAGTTTGATATTTTTCTCGACCCATTAAGTCTATATTTCGGCAGTTTTTTTCATATATGCTCACAGGTAATTTCAATCCTACAGACAATTTTGTATCATTTAGATTCGCAAAGTACATACAGGGTGTTAGTCAGAATGAGACCGATAAACTTCGTTTTCAGATTGCTCCCATTGTTCTGGGAAAAAATAAGTTTCTATCCAGAGTGAGATGTTTATTAGTTATAAGCATCTCAATCCAGAGTATACGTTCCAAAATGTTCTTTCTTAGAAAATTATATATAGGGTGACATTGAAATAAGTACAAATATTTCAAGCCTTGAGTAAGCTCGACGTGGTAACAATAAAATAAATATAGCGATCAAAATAAAATTTTTGGTTAGACCCCTTTCTACACCCAAAGTTCCACACTGCATAATCACGCGGATTTCAATCATTTAAATTAATTTGAAGTGGTGTACTTGATTTTTTTCTCGTTTCCTGCACAATTTTCGGGATGAAATTTCTTGATAATCAGAAGAATTAGGAATAATCTGATATCATGGGAATATTCGTTAGAATGTATAATATCGATGTGCTGTTGTACTCATTTCAAGAAAACCTTGTATATATGTTATGAGAAATTAAATTAGACTGTGAGACATTGAAAATCAGATAGTGGCCGAAGAGAATAAAATAAATAGTCAGATACGAATAATAGAACATATCTTGAATTATTTTGGTGATCAGTTTAAGGGGAATTTTTTCAAGAAAAAAATTAAACCATATTCTTTCCTTACTTTGACACCCTATATCTTGCTTCTTTCTTCGGAATAAGGTGAGGAATTCGGAACTGAAGTATGTATGTCTTAATCTGCCTTACCCTGTATAAGTTGGGCAAGTCAATATTAGATCAGTTTGTTGTAGGAGGATTTCACTCGATCGAAGAATGTAGTGTTGTCTTGAAATAACAACTTTTTATCCTGTCTGTAATTTTTGTATCTATATAATTAGCTTAATTTTTGAGGAAACAATGAAAATTCGATTTGACTCCAAATTTAAATGTAGGCGTTACTCAATAACCTCAATTAGAATCATATTGAAATTTTCGGACTTTCTCAGTCTCCATACCATTCTGAATGGGCGTGTACACCTTAGTAGAACTTTTAACTCAAACCATGCTTATAATGATCCTAATAAACATAAATAATGATTGACGACATAATTCGATCAGAAAATTAACTGGAATGTTTTATTTTTGGACATAAATAACAGTACCTTCTGAAAACGGACCCTCTTATGACGTAGAAACCTCATCTCGCCATAGTTGAAAGAAAATACCAAACGCCCGACGGAGACTGAGGCAACTGATATTTTAATTCATTCAACTGTGATCTCGCGCTAATTCACTCTGTCAAAAGTCATGTATCATTCATCTCTGCCTGGAATAGTCTTGTCTCAGTATTAGGGTTTTGCAACACATCTTCGTCTCGTTTTCAGAGGTCCGAAAAATCGGGGATTTCAATAATTTTTTATAAAACGTAGGGAGCTCACAGCAAGAAACGGTTTGCTGTGGTGAGCTAGTTTGGGTGAGTTCTATCGAATTATGAAATAAAATTGTCTTGTGATATAAGCCCATTCTGGCACGCATGAAAGCTTATACAAATATACAGGGGGGTTATAAATAAAAACAATTAATACTTTCAACTTCTACATCCTGCATCTCAAAAATGGAGCAGGTTAGGACACATATCAGAAGGAATCACCCAGGGCTAGGCCCTGAACCATCCCTTGAATATTTTCGGTGTTATTTAGATACACCCTGTATATGAGAATATATTCTGCTGTCAGGAAATCGTCAAAATAAACATCTCCCCTCTAGATGTATGGATGTCAAGGAGCTCTTGAAAAAAGAGGATAAAAGTAGTCCCGGGAATTTTTATCCCTATAAATAAAGTGATCATCAAGAGAACACGTCATTTCGGTATGCCAGAGGAGGCCAGAGCCTTTCCTTATGTTTGTTTGGGATGGTATTTCTGACTGAAAGGTAATGACCTTTATCGAAAAGTTTGTAAACAATTGGCATATGTTACTTCCACATGTTTGCGATATATTTTTCATTTCTACAAACTCCTAAAAGTGGTGAAGCTTGATATTCCCATGACATTTATCCAGAGGAACACACAGTATAGCGCGTTTGTTATAGGATATATATATTTTTTCGGCAACCGTCCGGGATGTGCTCACTTCCCGGACGCTTTTTCATTGAGAAAGTAACTTTTTTCCGGCCTAGTCCGTGAAGTACGTACTTCTCGGACTAGACCGGGAAGTACCACATCGTTGTTGTCACTGTAACCATAGATCTAATTACATTGTGTAATTAGATCTATGCTGTAACTATACAAATCTTGGTAGATATGGTTTTGATAAATGCAGATGATGATTACTATAGCAGCGAAATATCGGCTGACAGTTATATTTGGTTTGGTTGCAAATATCGCAATAAACTATTGAAAGCAGCTGCGATAGTGAGTTTGAAAATGTCCATACGAAATTTCCAATGTATAACAGTTAGTAGGTATAGGTTTTCTGTTAAAATTTCAGTATTTGGTACAAATGAGAATTAATAAAGAAGTAATTGTATTCTACAAAGAAATATAGTTTGGAAATGTGTCTCATGGATTTGTTATTCGACATGGTTGCCGAAAAATAGTGTAATCTACACGTTTAAAAACTGTTTTTTGGACTCGCAGACTTCCAGGACTCGCCTACAGCTCGGTCTAGAATTTTGTCTACTCGTCCAAGATAACAGTATTTTCCGGACTTGTTACGTAAATTACTATTTTTTTGACTCCACTGACGAGAGGCGAGAGGCTGGGAAAGTAAAATGCATGTTCCATACGTTTTTATTCGGGAAATTAACTTGGAAGTTTTGAAAAAAAAATACATGTTTAATTTGGAGGAAAATATAAGTCCAAGATAAGGTTGAACAGCATGGGGATCTCGGAAACAGTAGGAGATACGAAGTCGTTTATATGGGGAAAAAATTGCGCATTCGGAGGCTCATATCAAGAGCCTTTGAAAATTTTCAAAATTATTTGTAGTTTTTGAGTTGTATCGAAAAAAGTGAATTTTTGGAAAATCTTATTTTTTTTCTCCGTTTTTATTAGATGTACAGAAGAACTGAAATTACTGTTTCGTAGCAACTTTTGATGACGTTTAACGTGGTGATACCGATTTCTTCATGCGACGTTTCGTATCCGTAGAACCATCATCAACTTTTGTTTTTTCAAATACGGTCCTGATAATTTTTTCACAGATTCTGGAAGTTTTTTTCATTCTGAATGTGTTTCGACTTATTTATATCCATCATCAATGCTTTTTCGAACTTCCAAAGGAAAAGTGCCATCAGTTTCACTCATTTCTGATCATTTAGTGTCAAACATTGATGGATCAGTTATTCAATACTGGGAAGTAAATAAAAAATATTCCACTACATCATTCGATCATGACACTGTCCCTTAGTTCTTCTTCATCATCGAAGTTATTTGCGTATACAAAGTTTTTGATATATCCCCTAAGAAAAAATCCAGCTGTGTCAAATCAGGCAACCGCGCCGGCCAAGTGACTGTAGAATGAGTACCAATCCATTTTTCTGGATAAAAACGCACGGACTTCTCTGGAATTATGTACCGGATCTTGTTGAAACCAACCGTTCTGAACTCCCGCAATCGGTAAGTCATCCAGAGCTTCCTCAAGATGATTCTCAAACAAATTTCTATATGGTTCGGAAGTCTGTGTTTCATGGTAAATAAAAGGACCAATAATTCGTGTACCAAATATTGCAACCCACATAATATTAAAGCCGAAACGGTGTTGGTGTCTCGCTGTAAAGTATAAATGTCTATGATAAATGTTCATTTTCTCGCGAACAATAATGTGTATTTTTTCTATCGAAGATACCATATGATTAGTGACCATGCTTGCATCAGTCCAGATGATTGTTCGAGGGAAATCGGCAAAATATTGACATTTCCTGGTATACCACTCACAGAATGTCCTGCGTCTTTCGTCATCGCCTGGTTTTAGAGCTTGACATATTCTGAATTTGTATGTATGGAATATTTGTTTCCGCAAAATGAAATGGGTTGTTCATTGAAACCAGTTGATCAGGTATATGTGTGTGGACTAATTTTCCTCCAAAATAAGTACTGATGGCATTTTTCCTTTGGAATTTCGAAAAAACATTGATGATGGCTAAAAATAGGTCGAAACACACATAAACCACCTTTTATAATACATGGTTGAATTCAAAATAAAATAACCTTGCAGAATCTGTGAAAAAATCATCAGGACCGTATTTGAAAAACAAAAGTTGATGATGGTTCTACGAATACGAAACGTCGCATAGAAAAATCAGTATCATCACGTTAAACGTCATCAAAAGTTGGTATGAAAAAGTATTCTCAGTTTTTCTGTATCTCTGATAATGACGGAGAAAAAAATAAAATAGATATCCAAAAAATTAACTTTTTTCGATATAACTCAAAAACTAATCATGATTTAAAAAAAATTCGAAGGCTCTTGATATGAGCCTCCGAATGCGCAACTTTTTCCCCATTTAACCGACTTTGTATCTCCTACCGTTTTCGAGATCCCCATGCTGTTCAACCTTATCTTGGACAGACTGTATAGTGTATAGAAATTATGACTCTTTATCTCCTTATGAAACAATGTACCTACTAGATATACTCGTAGAAGGTATTTTAATGGAGAAAATAAATGTAAATATAAACAAGGTTGATTATTTTTCACACCATTGTCGATCTAAATGAAAAAGCTATAGTTAGTAGGCGAGAGGTCACACATCCATAGTTGTATTTCAAATTTCAAAGTTCATATTGATCGCTTATTTTTACCTTCTAATTGCTAGTTCCTTTTTTTCACAGATGATCAAAGTCGATGAAAACGATCCAGTAGGAGGTGAGTTTTCCGTGATACATGCATGAATAAAATTATTATTTTGTTATCCATTTTCCTCCAAATACCCATATTTATTGGATTCAGTATAATCTTCATCATCCTGTAGTAATAGGTGATTTTTAGCAATGCCTCAGAATAGAAAAAGCAAATAAACTTACATAAACAGAAGAGTAACAAGGAAAAAAGCAATGTATTATTTTTCCAAAAAAAAATTTGCACTGAGAGAACTAATAGTAGATTGTTTTATTAGGATCAAAAGTGACACTTTGTTTGACAAGCGAATTTTGCATTTGCGAGGCGGAGCGTTCAGCGAAGCCGAGCGAAAGCAAAATTTGCGAGTCGAACAAAGTCACTTTTGATCCGAATGAAACATGCTATTTTTTCTGCAACCGAAACAAATAACCCAAATAAATATGTGAAGTTACCACCAATACCGTGCCATATGTATGCAATGCAACAAATATTGAAAAATAATCCGTGTGGTGAAAACATTCTACCAGCATCAACAGCAGGTTCATTCAATTTTCAAGGATGTTCGAATTATTATTGTAGTTTCAATATAAATACAATCACAGAGTGACATATTTGTTTATGGACCAGGTGCTCTAATGGCAAATACCGCGTCAGTGCCAGCTATAGAAACAAGACTTGGAAAATGTTAGGTTAGTGAGCACATCAACAATGAGAATAGCAATTATTTTTTCCTCTCCATAATACAATGTTTGTCGCTTGATAATCAAATGAAGGTTAACAATATCGTTGTTTGAGACAAAAAACTATTGCTTGCCGTGATTATCCAAAAACAAGTTATCCATCCCGAGAATAACCAATGAAATACAGATCAAGCAAGTATTCGAATCTTGAAGGCTTTCCTGATCAAAACAAAATTACTCAAATGAGATGTTAATAATTCCAGTACTAAACTATAATAAAGTGTATTTATATCTTCAGCATGGGTATGAAATGCCAAATCTGCTGAAATCGGGAACAAATCAGGTATGCCTCTCAACCCAAATAACCAACCGTCTCAATGTTGTTTATTCTTGATGACGTCCAGTAGATCCTTTTTAGTTCCTAGGAGCTAAAGTTCAACTTTAGCTCCTAGGAACTAAAATTCAACTTTAGCTCCTAGGAACTAAATATGTTGCCTAGCAACATACCTATTTTTGTGTCAGTAATAGAAACGTCAATTTAAGAGCTAATTTTAGTATCAAAATGGTCGACTTTTGTGTCGGTTGCAGAAAAAAAGAATTATTTTTTCTCAAATGACATCAAAAGTAACTTTTCAATAACACTTAACAGACAGAAAAGGTGTACTTTTACTGCCTAGGCAGAAAAAGTTTGTTGCTATGCAACGCAAGTAATTTGAATCAAATTGGTAATCAAAATTGACAATGACTTTGAGTGAACAAAGAATGATATGGGTTATTTGGACTTTGCGTGAAACTGAAAAGAATTTGGAGAAAAAATTAAATGTTTCACATGGCAGAAAAGAAGATGTAATGCCTTGGCTGGTTTCCTAGAGTCTGCTACGCATAGGCTATGAAACGAATTACTATTTTTACCGAAAAAGATATGAAAAAATCAAGAGAACTAAGAATATGAATGAATTAAATAATATGATGAATTAAAAACACCTATTCCGATTTTTTGTGGGACAAAAGGTGTCACTTTGTATTATAAAATAAGGATTACAAAATGTTAAACCATATCTTCGAATAAAAATGTGATCTCTAGTAGGCTATATATATAGTTATATTGAATTATCAAGGACACAGGATAAGCCTTATCCCAATTAGGAGTACCATACAGGGTGTCCCATCTGAAAAAGGAAAGATGATATAGTACATAGGGATTTTGAAATTCGAGACGATATGGCAACAGTGTTATTGAAAAAAATACAGGATAAGATATCTGCTCTGCTGTAGTTCTGATAAAAATAAAAAAGTGAGGAATGTGTGCCACTATACAGAGTATCAGATTGATGAAATGGCAGTAATAAAATAAGTAATAAAATAATGATGTTTGTTCATGTATTTTTTCTATGCATAACCATCTCATCCACGAAATTAAACTAATACTTGGACGTGGTTCAAAAACTATTATTCAAGAGATTATTTCATATCAGCAATGTATTATTGTATGTGTATAGTTATAGGTGCCAAATTTTTTATTCACAACACAAGGATTCACATTCCCATAAATTAATGTCAAAAGCGGGTACACTCATGTTTTGTCTTTTTTTTTTCAATCCAAGAATATACGATTTCATTTTAACGAAGAATAATGATCAATGAACAAATAGTTAGGAGAAAGTCACCTATAATGGCACCCCTAAGGATTTTTGCAATTAAAACGACGTTTCGATTAGCTTACATCAGACTCTAGATATTGGCTCATAATAGTCATTCATGCAGCAAAAGTATCCAACTAATTTGTATCTCGTGAATCCAAGTGATTTTCATATTATGATGCTTTTCTAAATCGCAGCTGATGTGCCATCATAGGCCTACACAGTATTCCTAATATGGCACACCTTCGAATTATCTATGAAAATTGCTGTTTCAGCAAATGAACAGTATTTTATTCAGAAAAGAGTAACATTCTATATTCTTTAAAAAATAATTCTCAAGGAAAAAGTAAGTTTGATATTATTATGTACAGACATCACAAATAAACTGCTTAGTTTTTCTACTGACATCAGCGCATTCAGCATGGTACCTACCAGAAAAATTCTGACATTTGATCCAAAATTCCCTCGATCGAGATCTTGAGTAAACAATAACGAGCAGGCTACATCGGAGTCATCAACAATCTATACAGGGTGAGTCATAACTATTGGGACATAGGCTAAGGGCGGATTGTTTGGACCAAAATATGGCGATTGGACCAAACATGCCTTAATGAAATATTGCTGTGAAAAGAGATACAGGAAAAGTGCCGCCAGACATTCCACCCGTTGATAGTAAAATGCCCGAATTCGTCTTCTGTCAACGCACTATCAGACGAATTTTGCTTGGTCTCAAAACGAATAAGGTTAACATCAGTCCTGATGGAATTCCACCCATTATCCTCAAGAAATGTGCACCAGAATTAACACCGATACTCTGCAAGTTGTTTACCGTCTCGTACAGGTCGGGTATTTTTCCATCATGCTGGAAGACAGCTAGAGTCCAACCAATTCCCAAAAAAGGGAACAAGAACCTGCCCAACAACTACAGGCCCATTGCCCTGTTATCAGTAATCTCCAAAGTGATGGAGAAAGCCATCAATATTGAGTTTATCAAAAATCTGGAGAGCTCAGGAATCATCAATGATAGACAATACGGCTTTCGCCACCGAAGATCTGCTGGAGATCTACTTGCCTACGTCACCCATTCATGGCACGCTTTATTAGAAAAACACGGGGAATCTCTAGTATGTTGCGTTGGACATATCGAAAGCATTCGACCGTGTGTGGCACGAAATCCGGCGTTCCACAAGGACCAATTTTGGCACCAACATTATTCCTTCTTCATATCAATGATCTGTTGGGAGTAACAACTTGCCCCATCCACAGCTTTGCAGATGATAGTACCCTCCATACTGCGTTCTCTTCCAGAATTCCCATTCCTTCCCAGGAAACTAAAAACTCACGGCGCAGGCAAGTCAATGCTGTCAATGAAGACCTTGCTGAAATCACAGCCTGGTTAACCAACAACCTAGTTGAATTCAACGCCACCAAAACTCAAGCCTGTATTTTCTCTAGAAAGGCGGAACTCCGTATGCCCGATATTGTAATGTCTGGACCCACCATCCTCACCAAGCCCACCATATCTATGCTCGGTATCTTCCTCAGTAACACTCTTTTATGGGATAATCATGTCAGATCCATCGCAAAAACTCGGATTCTTGTTCCGTGCGAAAAGCTACTTTACACCTCAACAGCTTCTCATGATCTACAAAGCGCAGATACGGCCTGTTCTAGAATACTGTTTCCACATAACCACCAAAACATACGCTGATGCTCTTAGATTCCATCCAGAAAAGAGCCATTCGCCTGGTGGGTGACGCCACACTCACTCACTCTTTGACATTTGGAACTCCGTAGAAAGGTCGGCGACCTTTCACTTTTCTATCTATACTTCCATGGAAAATGTTCTTCGGAAATCTCTGCTATCATCCCTTCACTAGCAATACCAGTCAGACGAACTAGACAAGCCCAGTCAGCACATCCTTTCGTCGTCAACCTCGAAAGATGTCGAACAGCACTTTATCAAAACTCCTCCATCCATAGAACGGCTAGGCTCTGGAATTCATTGCCTGAGGAAGTATTCCCAACAACATATAATCTCCAGAAGTTCAAAAAAAATTCCAATACCTACCTCCTGTCCCTATCCTCCCTAGGAACGCACGATGTTCTTTGAACATAATAGGGATTTCCTTTCGTGCGCTCCAAGCAAAAAAATACATGAAATTCGTGTATTTCATTTTAACTATCTTTCAAGGTCAATAACTCCGTAACAAAGCGCGATAGAAATTTCACACACATTATGTTTGCTCACTCTATCAACCCTATCATTTACGAATTGACCTTCCCGAACATCCTGTATACTACTATAATATACTACTACTACTACTAAAATAAAAAACACAAATCAGTTCTCATATCTGTTTTTTTTTTCAGAAATCCAGCTAAGCTTTCCTTACAGAGACGTACAAATACAAAGAGGGGTAGATCCAAAAGACACTTTCATCTTAGAATCAGAAATTGGAAGGTGAGAATGCTACAGATCTTTCAATTCGATTATCCATCTTGAACGAGCAATAATATGTTCCATGCGCCGTGTTCTTATACTACGACGCGTTGGTCCAATATAGTTTATATTACAGTCACAATTCGAATGTTTTTGCGATATGAAAATACTGTCTTGCAGGGGAAAATTCGGAACAGTCTACAGATGCACCGAAAAATCCACAGGACTGTCTTTGGCGGCCAAATTCATAGGGTGTCCGAAAAAAGAGGACAGAAGGAACGTCGAAAGAGAAATAGAAATCATGAAGCAACTGCAACATCCTAGGCTCATTCAAATTTACGACGCTTTCGAAAACGGGAAAGTGATGACCGTCATTTTGGAATTGTAAGTAGAAAACTCAAATCATGAATTAGATTGAAAAGATCCGTGAAAAAATGCTCTCTTCTGATATCAAAAAATTGCCAAATAAATTACTTGGTTCCTGTTTGTGAGTTACCTCAGTATATTTTTTGCAGAATCGAAGGAGGAGAACTCTTCGAGAGAGTGATTGATGATGACTTCATACTCACGGAAAAAAGTTGCACGATTTTTATGAGACAGATTTGTGAAGGAGTTGATTTTATTCACAAACAGAGGATTCTGCATCTGGATATGAAGGTAAAATCATTATTTCCTTTTACCAAATACATAACAAAATAGTTATTTATGTACCAAGGAGGAAACACTGTCTATTATAGTCAGTCTGGAAATTGATAGCCGAGGCTAGCAATCAAGCGAGACAATAATAGACAGTTTTTCGCCGAGGTGCATATTACATTTTTTCGTCCACCTCAAAACACTTATATTCACGTCACGGTCCTATTCACATTAGGTCACCAACGAAGCAGGGCAGTAACTATGAATATCAATAATTCATTCCCTAACAACAAACCCACAGTGCAAAAACTCGTACTACTAACGTTATTGAATTGTAACCAAGATACATCTTGTTACGTTATGATTCTTGTCCCATTCATGTCTCAAAGACCGTTTCAGAGTCGTTATATGTCCACCAACATAACAAAATCCCAGTAACGTTAAATACGATTCCAATATGATATGTTAATAGAAACGACTTTGTTACAGCAAAAGTACTTTCCATTACGGTAACTATATAATGAAACGGTAATAATTCATGTAACATCACTAGAAACTGCTTTCTTACAGCAGAAGTACTTCCCTAAGGAGTTACTACAATGAAACCATAATGTATTTAGTATTTTCTCCTCATGTGTTTCGAGCTGTGAAAAGTACATTGTAATATACAAGGTGGTTCATTAATGTTGCACTACACTCTGGGATCTGATTTTTAATTCAAATTATGTGGAAAAAAAATCATATAAACATAATATACCCGACAACGATTCGTTTCTGAGATGAATCATTTTCGAACATACTTAAATTTATAGAAACTTTTTTCATATTTTGACCCAAAAAAAACTTATCTTGAAGATTCACACAGCATTAATGACACACCCTTTATATTAATTTGTACATTCCCAATTTTTCAATTAATCGAAATAGTTTTTATCGGTTTTGATTGAATAATTTGAAGTAAAATTCAGATTTGAAAATGATAAATAAATTTATTTTACTCATATCAACTTTATGGTTAACGAAACAGTCAACAAAACGTAATATTTCAATGAATGAACCAAACAAAAACAGAAAATGATTCCTCAATTTAAATTAAAGTTAAAGGGAAACAGAAACTGAAAAAAAAAGTTTGCTAAGCAAGGAGGCAAGAGAGCAAAAGCTGTTTGGAATGACGCAGCCACCCCATTTGCTTTTGTATGAATCGAGCAGTCCGAACAAGTGGAAAAAACCTCACGGACTGCATCTGAAACAAATATGAATTGAAGTTCACAATAATAATGCCAAAAGAGTACAATTTCAGCACATCAAATATTCATATCATACTACCTCGATCAGTTCCCTTCCTGATGGTATCTTTTTTACTCTTGATACTTCCACCCTCCTGCAACAGAGGGTTGCTGAGACTGTTTTAACCCAATGTAAGAGTCGATTTCCTTTTTTTCAAAAAACCTTTCTAGATTTTTGTGTCCTTATTCAATGTCTCAGATATTATCGATTGAATGAAATCCCAGAGACTTAGATTCTGAAATGTATACCATTAGTATATTGAACTGATTGAACTAAGAAATGACCATTTTTCGCAAACAGAAATCGTAAATGTAAAATCCCCCCCATTCAATGATAATAATTATACCCAAATCCTGAGAAAAGGTTTCTGTAGTTTAGTCCTGTTTTTGAATCTTTTCAGTTCATATATCTTCATAAGGCATATTTGCCAATGGAGTAAGGTGCGTGCCTGATAAGATAAAGATCTCGGGTTCAATCCGTACTCGACCTACATTTTTTTTTATCCTTGGGACGTCCTAGGAATATCCTTTCGTCGTACTTGGTACATCCTAGGGCAATACCAGAAAGACATCCCTTTTGGATGTCCTTTTTGTCGGCCAGCGGATGTCCCTGGGACGTCCCTAGGATGTACTTGTGTTGTTAGGGTTTTATCAAACCACTCGCCCATTCTCAAAGTTTGACTTTTTTATCGAATATGTTCCGTTTATTGTAGCCTGAAAACATCCTCTGTCTTACAAAAACGGGCAATCGAATCAAAATAATCGATTTCGGTCTGGCCCGCAAATTCGATCCAGACAAGAAGCTGCAAGTACTGTTCGGCACCCCCGAATTCGTGGCACCCGAAATCGTGAATTTCGACGAAATCGGGTACGGGACAGATATGTGGAGCGTCGGGGTGATTTGCTACGTGCTGTAAGTACCTTTTCCTACGAGCGTGCGCAAAGTAGTGCCTTTCCGCACTCATTTGCGTGCGCAAAGTAATACTTTTCCGCACTCAGTGCGGATAATTTTTTTTCTACTACCTATACTTTGAAGTCGGGGGTCCGACTTTATTCAGGATACCAAAGTCGGGGGTCTAACCTGTACAGGATGTCTCTTTATATTTTGATCCCTACCTACATCTTCAACTATACGAAGTGGAGAAAACTTCGAATATGAAAGTTGTAGGGTTTCATCTGTACAATCTTTTTGCACCCTTTGAAGAAACAAATGCGAATCGCGAAATGAAAAAAGAGAGTATGATGGAACCTTCATTACAGAACTTTTGTGAATTTACATCCGAACGTTACTTCTTATACGTACCTACCTATACAGTGTGTCCCACTTACCATGCTCACCATGGGTAAATTTTTAACGGTGAGAGATACGAAGTCGGTTAAATGACACCAAATGTGGAGTTTGTCAAGGCCAACTATAATGTGAAAAAATATTTTGATGACATCTATTCGTTTTTGTTTTATACGCAAAAACCAAATTTTGATCATTTTCATGTCTCCTCCGTAACTTCTTTATTTATGAAAATATTCAAATAGGAATTTCACATTCTCATGGCAGTTTTTCAAAGTGATTTCGAAAAGAATATGAAATTTATACCAACTCTTCTAGAATTTGAGATATCAGCACCAACTTTAGTTTTTCAAATGTAGGTCATAGCTCACTATGGCTTAGTTACAAATAACTTTTTTTTCTCTCACAGATGATATGTCGCAGTAATAGTTTTGTGTTGATATCAACGGGGTTATCGTCATTTATACAAAAACAAAAAAAAATATTTGGAAGCTGCCATCTTGAATTTATAAATTTTAACAAGAAAATCATGATCTCCGATCTCAAAAACCCCCACTTACCAGTTTTGAATGGAATCGGACCAAATCTTGTCCGCTATCTTGGAGCAGCCATTTTTTTTCAATTGATGGCGGCCAAGATTTGGTCCGATTCCATTCAAAATTGGTAAGTGGGGGTTTTCATGATTTTTTTGTTAACATTTATAAATTCAAGATGGCGGCTTCCAAATAATTATTGTTTTTGTATAAATGACGATAACTCCGTTGTTATCAACACAAAACTATTACTGCGACATATCATCTGTGAGAGAAAAAAAAATTATTTGTAACTAAGTCATAGTGAACTATGACCTACATTTGAAAAACTAAAGTTGGTGCTAATATCTCAAATTCTAGAAGAGTTCGTATGGATTTCATATTTTTTTCGAAATCACTTTGAAAAACTGCCATGAGAATGTGAAATTCCTATTTGAATATTTTGAAAATTTGATTTTTGCGTATAAAACAAAAACGAATAGATTTTATCAAAATAGTTTTTCACATTATAGTTGGCCTTGACAAACTCCACATTTGGTGTCATTTAACCGACCTCGTATCTCTCACCCTTAAAAAGATACCCATGGTGAGCATGGTAAGTGGGACACACTGTATATATGTACAGTAATTTTACATCCATTGTATAATCATCACAGGATCAATCGAAAACCTCCTTTTTGGATGTACACTGAATGTCAATTAATGAATCACACCTGTACGATTATTATCGTATGTACACGGTGATTGTTTATATTTTACCCAATAGCTAAGAATCTCTGTTGAAAAGATACAAGAAATTGAGAGAATCGGAGTTGTTCATATTCATATAGAATTCTTTTTTGGTATAATGTCTATATGCATTTGATATATGTACAGGGTGGCCAACTAAGACTCCAGAGTTCGATTTCTCTGTTGTCTTGAGAGACACAAAAAAAATTCATGAATCAAAATTGAGGTAATAACCGAGCTTCACATTTCAAAATTTCTTTGATATACACAGGGTGTTCCGTAAGGTCACAGCACATCAAAGCTATGTTTTTTCATTTTAACACCCTATATTTTATTTCATTTTTGAATTCTCCCTGAAGATCTGATTTCAACGACCCATCATACTTAGGGTCTAGCAGTGAGAGTTACTGACATATAGGGTGTGCAAAATCGAGATTTTCCAAGTTCAGGATTTTTTTCTGTCGAAACTGTTCATTATTCGTCAAAACGGTTTACATGTCCCTATCTCAACTTTAGCACATCCTTTCGTTGTCAACCTCGAAAGATGTCGAACAGCACTTTATCAAAACTCCTTCATCCATAGAACGGCTAGGCTCACTGGAATTCATTGCCTGCCTGTATTCCCAACAACATAAGATCTCCAGAAGTTCAAAAAAAATTCCAATACCTACCTCCTATCCCTATCTTCCCTGAGAACGCACGATGGTCTTTGAACATTATAGGGATTTCCTTTCGTGCGCTCCAAGCGATAAAAAAAATATCTGATGCGCTCGAATATTTCTATGTGACTGTTTTTTTGATATTTTTGAACACCTGTACACGCTCTCCCCACCAGTGAAAGGTCATTATCATATAAACTTGTATTCATTTTTGCATCTAATCTTCACAATCTGATACGTCCCACGACGCTCGAGTAAATTCCTATTTAGCCTCTTTATTGTCTCCCCTACTAATACTCTGCTTTCAAAAATGATTGAAATACAGGGGCACTTCCATCTCAAGTGAGTAACACTGTATATAAAATTTAAAAACAAAACTAATTCTTCTTTGGACAAACAAATCACAAATCAAAACAGCCATAAACGTCTATATCTATTACCTACGTCATACGTAAATCACCTTGTATTTTGAGTAAATTATTTCCATCGGTGAAGAAATTTGTGAGGCTCCCTTTATATTTCCTCAGATAGTGAGAATGTAATATGTGTGCTTATTCAAGAAAGAAACACAATCTTCTGTGATGCTGTTTTTTATTTTGATTTCTACTGTCACTAGGGTGTGGTACTTTCATGAAAGGTGTTACCCTGTATACAGATAGAAATTCCTGCGAATTCAATCGGAATAACTCGATATTAAAAATAATCCAACGGCGTCTGGTCCGTGAACTGGATCTAGTCTGACGCCAAAGTATTTTGACTGCTTCCATAACAAAACGTTTTTCATTCAGTTTTAAGCGAAACATAAACATTCCTGGGAATTTGACGTGAAATTCCAACTAAAAATATACTTCTTTGATGCATAAAAATGAAGTCGGTATCTGAACACATTTTTTGAATAATGTTTTTGGCGTCATTATAGGGGGACAGAAGGGGGAAGCAATTATACCTTTCCCTAATTTTCTAAAAAAAAATATTTTTCATATCAATGAAACACTTTAACGATATAAATCAGTACTCAAATTTGTACCTCGATCCTCTGAATCGAAAAATGAGAAAATATACAGGGTGTCTAACTATATTTCTGAAATTTGGATTATCGCATATGCTCACTAGAGAGCACTCTAGAATTTTTTGTCATCTTCCGGTTTTCCTGGAACTCACATAAACTTTCGATTTTCCAATTTATCAACCTATATTTTATTACATGATTGGTTAGAGATTGAATTCAACGATGCCGGGGTTGATTGGGTTATTTACGCTGGTTATTTCAAACGATTACGAATATTTGCGTTAAGTTAGGTTTCCATTATGATCAATGAGTGTGACAGAGAAACAAGTTTCAATATTGCACCGTCACACCCATTGACCATTTATGGATAATTCGAACGCAAATATCATCGTAATCGTTTGATATAACCTCAGATAAAACCCGGTACCAGTACCCATATCGTTGAATTTGTTATAATAATCTCTAACCAAATATGTGACAGAAATAAAAGAATCCTTAATGACATAATGTCCAACACTGAACAAGTGATTCATATTTGGAATGAGAGTAATTGTTTTGGAAAAACTCAAGTTCTGAGTTTCAAGTTGCTTGGGGTACATCTAAATGCAGGTCTGAATTTTTTGCCTCACATTGATCAATGGGCTTATATCACAAACAATTTTTATTTCATAATTCGATAGAACTCACCCAAACTAGCTCACCACCGCAAACCGTTTCTCGCTGTGAGCTCCCTACGTTTTATAAAAAATTATTGAAATCCCCGATTTTTCGGACCTCTGAAAACGAAGCGATGATGTGACGTCAAAACCCTAAAACTGAAACAAGACTATTTCAGACAGCAGACAGAGATGAATGATACATGATTTACGACAGAGTCTCCGTCGGGCGTTTGGTATTTTTTTAACTATGGCGAGATGAGGTTTCTACGTCATAAGAGGGTCCGTTTTCAGAAGGTACTATTATTTATGTCCAAAAATAAAACAGTCCAGTAAATTTTTTGATCGAATTATGTCGTCAATCATTATTTATGTATAAAAGGATCATTATAAACATGGTTTGAGTTGAATACGAATGTCTCATTCACATGAAGGAAGAAATGTCTAATACTCGGTCTGGAATAAACTAGAAATGAAGATAAATACATACAGGGTGTCCCAAAATTGCTGGGACACAGAGCTACCACGTATAGAAGAGGTCAACATAAATTGATTGGACCCAATTTTCTTATGAGCCAAAATGTACCGTTTGTCCGTGAGAAGGGTTCAAAGTCATAAAAAACACATTTTTGTACGCTGTTCAGAAACAAGTGAAACGAATTTGATGAAATTTGGCAATAGTGTATTTCAGAGATTTAATTTCCTTTTGGTGATCGAAGAAACCTGAAAGAAATTGTAGAAGGGTTAAAACCACCCTCACCACCTGACATTTTTTTCAGAACTTTTTTAGGGGTCATAATACGGTTCTGAAATTTTTTGAGCTTGAAGACTAATCAATTACCTTCATTTCATTGCTCTTGTAAAAATTTTCTATACCACATAGTTTCGAAGAAAAAAAAAGTTCTCTCTCTCCTATACACGTGGTAGCTCTGTGTCCCAGGAACTTTGGGACACCCTGTATAATACAAGAGGGAAAATGAATATAAGATAACCAAAACCAAGGATATCAAAGACCAAATCTTCAATCGAGTCGAAAATATTCTAATTTAAAAAAGTTTTTACACATTTGATGAATATCTAACAGGAAATACCGGAACAAGGAAATCGCTATATAGCATTTTTTTCACGTAGAAACTAAACTCCAAACTATTTTGGCATTGTTTCATTGTTGTAAGTACTAGTGATGCTAAATTTCTCAACTATTTGTGATATACTTCTATATGTAGCCTCGTAACGATCTATTTCATCTAATTTCATCTGATTTTAATCTATCCCAATAAACACAGCTACGTGGGAAAAACGTTGAATTGTTCAAGTAACGCCTCTATTATTCATCGTTGAAAAAACGGCAAAATGTCGTTAGGCAATACGTTTTATTCTGGTTCTATAGTAACGTTACCTCTTCACGTTGATTCATCGTAACTAAGACGTTGCACACGTAGCACACGTAATGTGAATTCTACTGATATATACCGTTTTATTTCAGTTCCGACGTAACCATTCAAATCAACGGTTTCTTAACGTTTTCTATACGTTTCCAACCGATTCAAATATAACGATGTATTTTGGTTTCAAACTTGGTTTCAAAGTAAAGTTGCTGAGATACGAATTCTGAACGTTGATGTTAACTCTAGAATTAAACGTGAAATTGCAGAATTCAAGTAACGTTGATCTTCTAGATTGAATCAACGATGATTTATCTTATCGTCGAATCGATATTACTACCAATTTTAAACGTAACTAAAACGTTTCTGAGACATAAGGTGAAGTAACGTTTCCATTTTCACTACGGATCAATCTCTATTATCATCGCAAATTGATTAGAAATAATAAAAATAACCAAAATACACATACAAGATTCATAATGTGTATAGTCCTAGATCCTAGATATCAATGGAATCTCAATCAGATAGGTATCACTATTTTGTTTTCGACTCGAGACTTGATGGCGTCATTCATCCGCTTCTTCGCAAACTTCAACCAGTCCTTGGTTGCATCTGTAATATGGACATCAGTTGCTGCTTCAAACTTCCTTTCGACAGCAACTGCATAAATTATTCAATATGAATATAATGAAAAACGAAAAAAGAAATTTACATACCATAAATTAGTTGGATCACCTTTGTTTCTCAAAATCCTCCATGTATGTTCCTCTGGAGAATTACCAGCAATTGACTTCAATTTTTTTATCTGAAATTTCGGCTCATTTGTGATCGAAACAAATTCTGGAGAATCAATGATAATTATTTATGAAATGTCTGTCTCATAATTCCTATCAATGTTCCTGAATATTGAGTACCGGTTTTCAACCATTTTCCAACCTTTATATCATCAACGCATTCAAGAAGTGTTTCATCTACCTTCTATACACGTTTCATCACCGTTATAAGAGGTGGTTAGACAAAACGACTCCAATAATGAGATGTGATTTTTCTCGACCGAGAATTTATAACTATGAAATATAATTAAAACTCCATGATATAAATTTGTGCAAGTTGGACTAAGTACCTACTGCATGGGAGTTTGTGAACCTTCCGACATGACATAATCGAATAAGTAGGTATAACTTTTGATAGGTGAATGTACTCATTTTGCTTCAAATTGATCATCCTTGCAATCGTCTTCAAGAGATGACCATTGGAAATATTCGGAATTTGCACAATACATAGGTAGAATTCAATAATGAAGTGGGTACTTACCAATCTCATATCTTCTCACATCCACGCATAACCTCTATCACAATAAACTATTAACCTTAATGGCGTCAGACGAACTGTGAGCATACTGGCGAGTGGCGGTGGCGGACTGCCGATAGGTCAGGTTCATTCAATACGAATACCTACTTTTGAATAATTCATACAACGGATCGAACACGTATTTTCAGAACGTTTAATAAACGTTAAAAAAGTTGAAATTATAGAACGTGGTATTAAGGTCGCTCGAAGATATAGTTGTTATTCAATAATTCATTCAACGGATCGTACAAGTAATTTCATAACGTTTAATGAACGTGAAGAAAAAAGTGCATGAAACGTGGAATAACGGTTTCTTGAAGATATAGTTGCTATGGAATAATTCATTTACCGTATCATACACGTAATTTCATAACGTTTAATAAACGCGAAGAAAGTAGTGATTGAAACGGGTAATAAAGGTTGCTCAAAGATATAGTTGCTATTGAAAAATTATTCAACGGGTCATACACGTGATCTCACAACGTTTAATGAACGTGAAACAGAGTAGTAATTGAAACGTGAAATATAGGTTGCTTCAAAATATAGTTGTTATTGTATAATTGATTCAACAGACTTTATACGTGATTTTGGAACGTTGAATGCACGTGAAAAAAAGTACGTAATTGAAACGTGATAAAGAGGTTGCTCAAAGATTCAGGTTGCTGAACAATATCATACTCGACGTTATTTCGATGTTCTATGAACCTCATTGAATATACGATGAGGAATCACGATAATGACACGTTGCATACTGGTGGCTATATAGACGAGTTGAATCATTATCGTTTATTATAAGTTGAATCAACGTTTGGTTGAATATACGTTACGAAAGTAACGTTGCGAAATTCAACGAGTAACGTTTAATCAACATCCACTACTATACATAAACGTATATTACACGTGTGTGTGTTTATTGGGATCTATCTATGGAATAAAAATATTGGGTGTTCCATATGAAAATCGAAAGTTGATGTCATTTCCAGGAAAACCGGAAGATGAAAAATAATTCCTAAAATGTGAGAAAGTGCCCTCTAGTGAGCATATTCGATGTTCCCAATTTCATAAATATAGCTAGAAAAACAAAGGAGAAAAGAAGGGTACTTATACTATGAGTCTGTATCAACCGTAAAATCAATTTTTTTTTCGTCCAGCGCCGATTTTTCGATTTTTTTCTAGTTTATCTGGTCTTTCGCCGTTTATGGGCCACACAGATGTGGAAACCATGGCAAATGTGACTATCGCCAAATACGATTTTGATGACGAAGCATTCGAGGAAATTTCTGAGAACGCCAAAGACTTCATAAAGAAGCTGCTCATCAAAGACATGAAGTGAGTATATTTTTGTGTGTGTGTGTGTAAATAACGCTTGAGGGTATACTTGATGATAATCATGTCAGATCCATCGCAAAAGCTGCTTCACAAAAACTCGGATTCTTGTTCCGTGCGAAAAGCTACTTTACACCTCAACAGCTTCTCATGATCTACAAAGCGCAGATACGGCCTGTTCTAGAATACTGTTCCCACATATGGGGTTCAGCACCAAAACATACGCTGATGCTCTTAGATTCCATCCAGAGAAGAGCCATTCGCCTGGTGGGTGACGCCACACTCACTCACTCTTTGACATCATTTGGAACACCGTAGAAAGGTCGGCGACATTTCACTTTTCTATCGATACTTCCGCGGGAAATGTTCTTCGGAAATCTCTGCTATCATCCTTTCACTAGCAATACCAATCAGACAAACTAGACAAGCCCAGTCAGCACATCCTTTCGTTGTCAACCTCGAAAGATGTCGAACAGCACTTTATCAAGACTCTTTCATCCATAGAACGGCTAGGCTCTGGAATTCATTGCCTGTGGAAGTATTCCCAACAACATATAATCTCCAAAAGTTCAAAAAAAAAGACATAGGCGCAGCTATAAATTTATTTCTGAGGACATAAAAAATTAAAAATGGGACGGATGAAAAAAGAGGAAAAATATATAGAAATATGAAATACTTTGGACATACATCGCCATCTCAGAGACGCACCCAAACAAGTAAAAAAAAAGAATTTAAAGAATCTAGGTAGCACCAATTTTTTAAAGAAATATCTGAGAGAAAAAAACGCGACTACACATTTTCAAAATATCTTTAATGTCGATAAGCCATGTATGGTTGCTAGAAAAAGTTTGAATAAATATAATTGAACAATACTATGCAAGCTCTTTAAGATATATACCGGGTGTCAACGAATCTATTAGACAAGTCATAACTTCTAGATAATTAGGTGTATCAAAATGAGATTTGGTATAGGTAAATGGTATGTGAAGAGGAGAGTTTTCACATATTTTTCACTTTCCAGTCACTTCCGGTTTCACCGGTTCTAAATTTTTAAAAGGAACACCCTATATATTGTAACATTTTTGGATTTCTGAGACAATTCTAGATTAGAATGTGACATTTTCGAAAGTTTTTATGCCTACTTAATTTTTTCGGAGTCACTTTTGAAATAACATCTAGGTGGCCATGATCGGAAGTAAAGTAATCTAAGGACCTCAGGTGATATCAAAAAATTATGATCGCGAAGTTTTAGTGACAAGTATGATAGATATGAATAAGACAAGTTGGCAAAATTACATTTTCGTGTCTAACTATTATTTTTCAAATGGCGACCATCTTTTGACAAGCACTTTCCGAAAAAAGGATATTTTAACGAATCTAACGATACTAATTTATTTGTGATTGGATTACAAATAAGAACATAAATTAAATATCACTGACGAAAATACTTCATAATAATTTATTTACTTTTGTCAAGTGTGCCGAGGATAGGCATGATGCATAATATTATGCAGTTATTTCGATCAAGTCTTCTTGGGAGAACAAAACACTCACTTATTAGGTTATGACGATGACATAAGCTTCAAGAGCAGAAGGTGAAATTTTCTTGATTTTCGTTAAATTTTAGTTTAATTTTCCGTCAAAATAATGTATACTCAAAGTGAAAAAGTGAATTTGTTGTTATTGGTTGAGGTTGACAAAACGGTTTCTTCAAGAGAGAAATTAGTCGGGAAATGCAAAGTCACGAATCAGCTAGAAAAATATTGAAAAAGCACGGATATCGAGCATTCAAATAGAATCTAGAATTGTCTCAGAAATCCAGAAATAATACAATACACAGGGTGTTCCATTTAAAAATCTTGAACCGGAGCCATTTCCGGGAAGTGAAAAATATGTGAAAACTCTCCTCTTCATATACCATTTACCTATACCAAATCTCATTTTGATACACCTGGTCTAGAAGTTATGACTTGTCTAATAGATTCGTTGACACCCGGTATAAATATTACATCGCTGTGATCAACTACGAAATAGCCACAATGCTCAAAGTGGAATGAAATGTTGAATAAATACAAAAAGCTCAAAATCATTTCCACACAATGTTCATAAAATGAACAACAATGGTAGATTTCGGGAGAAAAACAACTACTTCCCTGGCTAATGCCACGCAGAACATTGAATTACATCCTCCGGAAAACCATTACATCGGCTCGTATAAACGAATACTGACACAAGTGATTCTTTTCTGAATGCCTATTGATTTCAGATGGCGTTGCTCTCATACTGTCTATGAAGGACGCCTCTGGGGGAATATAATGCCGATTTTTTTTTGTTTGGCTAGGCTACGCTTAGTCGGCGGTCTTAGGACTGCTGGCTGGAGACTGCCCTGCACTGATGAGAGTCAAAGAGCTCGAAACCGGTCTGTAGGTGTCTAGCGTAGCCTGGCTAAATCGAAATCAATAGGCTCAGGGAAGACTCACTTGTCCACGAGTCCTACGAGTCCATGCATAGATTTCGGATGAATGTAATTCAATATTCTGCGTGGCATTTGCCAGGAAAGTAGTTGTTTTTCTCCAGAAATCAACCATTGTTCTTCATTTCATGCACATTGTGTGGAAATGACTTTGAACTTTTTGCATTCATTTAAATCTGTGATCGCTGACAAAATAGCAATTTCGAATATACATTTCGTCGTTTTCAAACACCAATGAGCAGGAAAAACCACTGACCAAACTTTCAGTGAACGATTGTTTTCAGCATATAAATTTTTAATTTGGCACTATATGAGGCTAGCATTGCTGACTTGTTTAGTTTGATGACGTTCATTGATGTAATGTTCAGATAAGTATAGATACTTTATCGATGACGTAGGATTACTTTATCATAAAGGAGATACTGGATTATCACACAAAAAATAAGGTAAAGGGTAAACCAAAACAAATGTACCTTTTTCGAACAGAACAAATCATCTAAATTTATTCAATGTCAGTTAATGCATTCAGTGAAAAAAGTAATATAATCACCTATCTCCTATCTCTGGATAAATTCAGGATTGCAGCCAAAATATCTCTACTGTTATTCTAGACAACAGTTTTTGCTTCAGTCCTGAATAATTCGTAATAAATAACAGAAGATTTAAACTAAATAAATTCCGAATTCCTGAATTACTTCATGTAGTAGGTGGCATTAAAAATAATTTGCGACATCAAAAGACATATTGTTGTGCTCTATGACCGTGAAAATAAAATTAACTTTGGCACGAGATACAGATTTTCCAAGTAACATGTTGAGAAACCATATAACGAGTGATTATTGTGTAATGTATTTAGTGTCTGAATACTGCATTAGTCGATGCATACGTCAATAAAGAATGTATAGCGAAATGAATAATAATCGAAAAAGTACATTCAATAGAGTGAGAGTAGGTAGGTATCTGATATTTTCCCTCGTATTCCTAATTTTTGCCATATACTGTGTCACCCTGTATACTGAGTGTCCTAGGATTTTATCAAGGGAGAACTCTTTTTTCAGGAAAGCTATGCAAAACAGCGATATTTTTTTGTATCCTACATATTATCAGTAAGGACAGATCTAATGATTTGTCCCAAAAGTTTCTGAGTTGAAAGTTTTACCTTTAAAGAGAAACTCATCCTTTTATACTGTTTCTTTCTTTGGAAATTTTCCTTCCTGTATATTCTCTGTGATATTAGGAATATATTCCATCTTCTATGGATTTTCATCAAGTAACGGAAGAGTCAATCAAAAAATAATTATAATGATCGTTATTTATTATACAAGGGAAAAAAGAATTAGATTTATTGGCTCGAGGTTGTGTAGCGTTGGGATACAAAAAACCGAGAGCTAAAATCAAATTTTTTACCGTGTATAATACAGTATTTTTTTCTATGACACAAAAAACAACGATTCAATATTGAGAAGATATACAGTGGGGACGTAAAAAGTCCTCTAATGAGTTAGTTAATTGGGCGTCCTGATTCCGAATCTGAAGTAACTTTCGACCTATTTTGACCCCTAATATGATTTTCCGGAAATTGGGGTGATTCCATGGCTGTTGCCGAGCAGTGTATATCACTGAAGATGACCTCACTTGGTCATAGAGTGCATTTTTGGTATATTTCTCGCTCCAGCAAATTTCAGGATCCTTACCCAACGATGTTTCCATTAGAAGTGGGTCACACTGTATATGTATATCCGGGAAAAAATTACTCTTTTTTCAACAGAGATGGAAGATCAAATTTCTTCTCGTCACATAAAAAAGAATATGGGTATATCATTTGATTCGAGGATAAAAAAATCCATGTACTTATAGTAGTTTTCGTTTTCTACGTTCGAAAATGAAGGAGTTATAAGAGGTCTTACTTCTATAATGTGTCACGCGGTACAATAAGTGTACCTGCAACCTCTTTGAAACACCGTAAATAAATCATAAATATATATATCAGGAACAATAATTGTTTTTTTATGAATATATATTGAAATAGGAAGGGGAAGAAACAAACCTTCTTTTCTATTTTTGTCTCGTTCCTTCATATATATTTCCATAAACTTTATAGAAAAAAGCAGTCAAAAGTTATAAGGACCAATAATCTAACCAAAATATTACCTGTTATATTCAGGGACCCTCTCATTTGTATAAAGGATAAACAGAAATGGGCCCAACACGGACCCCTGTGGCACCTCGCCCACAATGCATGCACAATCGCGCTACATAAAACCACACACCACCACTCACACCTAGCCAATCAAATCTGTCCACAGACAAAGACCCAAATTAGTGACAACCACCACATCATCCCTAACTCGTCTTGCTACTAATTTGGGTTATTCCATCACATCATTAATTTTACTAACAGGGTCTTTGTCTGCATCTTTCCAGCTGCAGACTCTCGGCCCAACAATGTCTGGAACATCAGTGGCTGAAGAGGAAAACGGTCCTACGTACCCCTAGCATGGACGTCACCAAAGACAACCTCAAACAATTCGTGGACAGGTGGAACGAGCCCTACGTGTTCGAAATTTGCCCTCTAGGGGCCCGCTCCAACTCCAGTGAGTCCCTACTAGGGGACTCCCCCTCGCCTTGTGGGTCTTTGGCATCCTCCTTGGGCTCTATGGATGGCAGCTCAGACTCGGGACTGCTTGGCCCTCCGCGGGAACCCTTCAGAAGGGCTTCGGACAGCGCTGGGTTGGTCAAGACCCATGATATCGCGGAGCAGATCAACTTGGCTGAGGAAATCAGGAAGCTTTCGGATAAGCTCTTCCAGCTTTCGAAGTTCGATACCACGCTGACAGTTAAAAGCTCCTTTGAAGCTGAAGAAAAGGAGACGAACAAGCAAGGAGTAGCGCGCAGTGTCGCTGAGAGGATAGCAGCAGCTGAAGCTAAGCCAAAGCAGGAAACTTCGAGCAATGAGACCTGTGGCATCCCTTGGAGGAAAACCAAGTTCAAGCTCAATGGTTTATCCAGAGATGTGCCTCTGGCAGCTAGGAATATCCACAAGACGACTAACAGTCGGTTTACGGCGAACGTCAAGGATTGCGGTGTTGCCAGTCCGAACGGCACCAAAGACCTTCTTTTGAAGCTTCTGGAGCACTGGGATGGGCCTAATAAGGCTTCTGCTAGGCTCAATCATAGACATGCGTCGGTTTCTTCCGAGTGGACCGACGAAGATTCGCTGGGACAGCGTACTATAAGTTCTTTGAATACGTTTTTTCAGTCGAGGGCTACCAATAAAAAGATAACTCCTTTTCATTTTAATAAAAGTTGAGGTTGTTGTTTTCTTAGGGTATCTGTTTATTGTTTCGAAGTTGCCTGTTAGGGAGAGCGATTCGTTCTGATTATACATAAGGTGTCCCAAAATTACTGGGACACCAAGCTACCACGTGTATTACTGTTAAAAATAGGTTGATTAGACCTTAACTCATATTTATATAAAAAAATGTACTGTTTGTCCGTGAGACGAGTTCAAAGTTCACATAAAAAACACATTTTACATTTTCGTACGCTGTTCAAAAATGTCAGCACATTTTTAGGAGAAGTATTAGGATTTTCAAATTTTTTGAGCGAGATGACTAGTTAATTTTCTTCATTTTGTTCCGGAGGAAAAACATTTTTTCTTCAATGATGCTAACATACATTCCTAGTAAAAGTTTGATAACATTGTAATACAAAATTAGTTGGCGATGGAAACAAAGGAATTGAAATTTGTATTGATGAAGATGGGCGTCATATTGAACATTAATTTAAAAAAAAAAGTTCTTCCTTTGACTCCACTGTCTACTATATTTTTTATTACAATGCCATTAAACTATTACTAGGAATATCTGTTAGCATTATTTAAAGAAACATTTTTTTCCTTCGAAACTATGAGGAATACGAAATTTTCGCAGGAGTAACAAAATGAAGATAATTAATCAGTATTCTTGTTTGAAAAAAATTGAGAATCCTATCACCACCCCTAAGAAAGTTCTAAGAAAAATTTTATGGGTGGGGGTGATTTCAACCCTTCTACAATTTCTTTCGGGTTTCTTTGATCACAGAAAGAAGGGTTATCTTATAAAATGCACTTTTGTCAAATTTCATCCAATTTGTTTCACTCATTTTTGAACAGCGTACAAAAATGTGTTTTTTCTGTGACGGGAAAAAAGTTTGGCATTTCATCTCTGTTCGCAGGTTATAAAATGTCACTTTTCATAAATTACTTTTGTCCCGTGGGAAAAAAGTGAGTATTTTTTCTCGGATATACCGGGTGTTTCAGTATACCTGTTCCAATGGATTATTTCAGTCATTTCGAAAGTACCAAATTTGAAAATTTTATGATCTCCAATTCGTTCAAGGAACTTCGAAAATTGGAAGTCACTTCCGGTTTGACTAACTCTAACTTCTTCATTTCAAATAGCACCCTGTATATTTTTTGCAATATTTGCTTTCTACTTAAAATAACCTTCCCAACGATGTATCATACTTTGCATTTTACAATTGATTTGATAGAGAAAACGAAAATTGAAATTTGAAATCGAAAGAATTGCAGTAGACTACGATATTTTGTGTACGCATAATGATTTGTTCTTCAATAATTGATGATTCATGAACAATTTTGCATTCGAGATGATGATTAGTGTGCCATGGAAACATTTGAATACATTCGTTTGTATCTTTGACAGTTAATAATTCTCAATGGTTGTGTGCGACATTCAAGAATGAATAACCGTGAGAGTGAAATGATAACTTCACAATTCAAGAGAAATTGGATATGATACTGATTTTATTTCCACATTTCAATTTGTCGTTTTCTTCATCATATCAAATGTAAAATACAAAGTGTACATCGTTGGAAAGGCAATTTTCAGTAGAAATCAAAAATTGCAAAAAATATACAGGGTGCTATTTGAAATAAAGAAGTTAGAGTCACTTCCGGCAAACCGTAAGTGACTTTCAATTTTCGTTTTTCTCAGTTGAAGGTTCCTTGAACGAATTGGAGATCATGAAATTTTCAAATTTGTTACTTGAGATGATGACTGAGATAATCCATTGGAACAGGTATACTGGGACATCCGGTATATCACATATATATGTTGATGGCTTTTGTTGTGCTATAGTTCCGAAAAATGAGTCAATAATACCGTCTTCGAGAAAGAACTGCAAGTCCTTTTATCTTTCATTCGACTTTGCGGTTACGTATATTACTAAACAACAACGACAGAAGACAGAAGTGCCATCAGATATTTGATTACTCCAAAAGAATGATAAAGATGCATACAACGCAGGTGTCCTTATTGTTTGGAGCTAAAATCTGCTACTTTTTTCCCTAAATAACTATTTTTTATGTCAACCTCGAATTCGTCTCACGGACAAACGGTAATTTTTGGTATATAAATAAATTAGGTCCAATCTACTTATTTTGACCTGTATTATTCGTGGTATCTCTGTGTGTCAGCAATTTTGGAACACCCTGTATATAATAAGTTCTTTCATATGGTCTGAGGATATACAGAGTGACACACTTCAAGACCGAGCCACCATCATGAAACTCAGGTGTGTATATGAAGGTTCAGGATCCAAAATTGATACCGAAATTATTATACAAGGTGATTCTCAGTGGAGAGACCAGTAAATTGAAAGCTGGCTTGTAGACAAAATGGAAATAAGATTGAAAAAATTCCGGGTGCAACAAAATTACCCATCGTAGTAGATTGAAAATATAAATTGTTTCCAGTGGTTTTTTTTTGGTGTTTAAGTAATTTTTTTTTGTGAAAAATTAAAATTAGTGATCCTGAATTTTTGTATATTTATCCATCGTGCCTTAATTATTTGATCCATAAAATGAGAGAGTGATTGTCATTCATATTTATTTATTCATTCATATATTTATGTATTCATTTATTCATTATCTGCATTTTTTTTGTATTTTCTACTGTAAATATGGGACCATTTATTCAAATATTGTAACTTAGTGACATTGTTAATGTAATAAAGTGATAACAAACACTCTCATTTATTTCTGAGATATAGTTGGCATTTTTTGTTGATTTATTGAGAGAAATTATTTGCGCTTTTTCCCAATTTCAACCGTTTTGTATTCTTTAATTCAAGATTTCCGAGATCGTAATACGTTTGTTGCTGATTAAAACTAGGACACCCGGTATACAATATACAAGATTTTTCTCCAGAACACTCTTGGACGTACTGCAATGACGATAACACATTCTGAGAAATACACATTTTTCTATTGAGTATTCAACAAAAATTTGTTTGGTACTTGCGTATTTCTGTCTGAAAAACAGGAATTTAATATTGAAAATGTGAAAAATCTACTATTATTTATCGAGATATCTCAAGAAAAAGTTCGAAATTTCGCCTTCTTTTTCCCCCTGTGTTAGATGCATTTTTACAGCTATATACATGCTCTTCTTATTTTGTCATTGGACACTTTTTATACTCATGATGTACTACAATGACTCATTTTTATATAGAAAATTCAACACGAAATATGATCTTTATGCCGAGTTTTCCATATAATCATACCAGATGACAGCCATTTAATCCCCGTTAATTCCCGTCTTTGGTATTTAATGAATAATCAATCCAAATACGAGATGTCAAATGTCAACAGATTGCTTTTGAATGACATCACACACATCATTATTTTAAATGATATTCTTCCTTCTTTTCACTAAATATGGATAAATCACAAGAAAATCCTATTTCTGGTTGACTCATATAATAGAAAAAAATGTGTCATTGAAGTACATTGTGATATACAGTGTGACCCACTTCTAATGGAACCACGCCTGTATCTTACGTAATCGTTGGGTAAGGATCCTGAAATTTGCTGGAGCGAGAGATATACCAAAAATGCACTCTATGACCAAGTGGGGTCATCTTCAGTGATATACACTGCTCGCCAACAGCCATGAAGCTACCCCAATTTCCGGAAAATGATATTAGGAGTCAAAATAGGTCGAAAATCACTTCAGATTTGGAATCAGGACGCCCAATTTACTAACTATTCAAATTTTTCCTGGAAATTTTTCAGTTCGGAAAAATGAAATTTTGTCGCATTTTTTATGGAAGCACCCCCGTATCTCACGTAATTGACTTTATCTTTGGACTTTCTCTTCCTCCGGCAAATTTCAGAAACCTACCTCAATAATTACGTGAGATACGGGGGTTCTTCCATGAGAAGTGAGACAAAATTGGATTTTTCTGAACTGAAAATCTTCTAGGAAAACTTTGAATAGTTAGTAACTTGCGCGTCCTGATTCCGAATCCGACGTGATTTTCAACCTATTTTGACTTCTAATATCATTTTCCGGAAATTGGGGTGGTTTCATGGCTGTTGGCGAGCAGTGTATATCACTAAGATGACCCCCACTTGGTCATAAAGTGCATTTTTGGTATATCTCTCGCTCCAGCAAATTTCAGGATCCTTACCCAACGATTACGTAAGATACAGGGGTGGTTCCATTAGAAGTGGGTCACACTGTATATATTGTCCAATGATGAAAAAAGAAGGGCAAATTGTTCTAAATGCGATCCAAAAGACAGGCGGAAAAGAAGATGAAATTTGTAACTTTATAGTGAAATATCTTAATAAATAATGGTTTGTTCACATTTACTTTATCAAATTCGTGTTTTTCAGACAAAAATACGTAAGTCCCAAAAAAATCGCATGGTAAGTGCAGTTTCACTAGAAATACATATTTTTTCCGTTTGCGAAAAAATCAAAATATTTAATAAAATTTTGGAATCAAATTCTCTAATACTATCTGATAACACCATAAAAGTAAAAATGACACATTCATGAAAAGTATACCTATATATTTTTCTGGGGTATATAATTACGCTATACGACAGGGTGTCCGTGGATAAGAGATCAACCTGTTGACCTTACATTCCTTGCCATAATATGCCATTTTTAAATTTCGGACCAAAGTTATTCGATACACACAGTATTTAAATGAAATATTGATTTCCAATTCGGTACATCTGTGTTCAAATAAACGTATCTTTTGAGCAGAACGAAACTAAAAACAATTGGTAAATGATTGGTAAGTTATCAGGGAGAGATTACTTATAGGAAATCTCTGAGATTTTTCGCTAAATAGAAAAAATGATTCAGTATCCCTTGCTTCATAAAAATCATTATCACACCACTCAATCTTGAATTTTTATATCTTCAAACTTATTGAGATAATCTTTATTTATATTCACTTACGTAATCAATTAAATTTCTTTTCATTTCCCTAGACTCTTTGGAATTTCCAC